TTATTTGTTGTCTCTTTCCAGCTCTTGGTTGTGTGTGATAGATGAGGTGCTGACGGGTTTGAATCGTTGAACTCGTAACATTTCGTTGAGTTGTTCCGTGGGTTTTCTTGCAATCTTACTGTTGCTTTAGTGCATCATAGCCAGGGTCCTAGGGCGAGTATCTGGGATGGTTATATCGTATCCAGATCGTCCTGGGTTGCTATCTTTTAGGTAGTGTCCTGATATTTCCTTGTCTTCGAGGTGAATTCAGCAGTCGTCATCGTAGCATCCAGTCCACGACTGGGATGTATGCGAGGCTTTTGCGATAGTGTTGACTTGTTGAGGTCGCTCGGCCACTGGTTTCCAGGGGAGCTTCTTAGGTTGTTTGCAGTCTCTGGCAATATGTCCTTATCGATTGCAGTTGTAGCACTTTGGGTTCCAAGGCTTCTTGTCGCTAGGTTTGGTCATCATGCTGAGGTCTATAGGTCCGCTATGTTGTCCGTAAGCAGTGCTCTGGCGGGTGTTGTTCCAGTTGTTGCGGGGTCTGTTATCATTCCGCTGGTTGTTGAACTTATGTTGGGGTTGCCACTGGTACTTACGTCCAGAGTTAGCTCCTTTTTGTTTTTCGCCTTTTTCTTTTCTTCGTTTGAAGAGTTGGTTGTCGATCTTAATAGCCATACTGGCGTACTGGAGGAAATCTTCAGGTTCGTCTAGCTTAACTATTTCGTCTTTGACGTCGTCCTTAAGTCCTTAGTAGAACATAAAGATTTTGGTTTCTTCGGTAAGGTCTAGTTAAACACTAAGTTGTCTGAAGGTGGCAGCGTACTCCTTAGCTGACTTGGTTTGTCGTAGTTGTGCTAGCTTGCGTTCAGTTTGGCGTTTTTCGTCTGGGTCTTAGAAGAGGGATCGTAAGGCATCCTCGAACCCTTGAAAGCTACTGTAGATGTCGCGTGTCTCCGTGGAGCATTCGTCCAAGGTTTCGCACTTGAGGAATTCTTCTTGGATGGGTTCAAACCACTTAAGGGCTTGCCCACGAAGATAAGTGGCTGCGTGGATGACCTTTTCCGTCTGGTTGGCGAAGTCGCCGTGGTGGAAATTATGGTAGGTCTTGATCTGGATCAAGTATGGCTTGAGTTATCCAGGGGCGCTATCGTAGGTGATTAGAGAGCTAAGCTTAAGTTTCTGGCGTCCTCCAGTAGGGGTTGTTATGATGTTGGCGGCGGTCTGGAGGGTGTTGTTCTGTTCTCCAAGTCGGTGTACTTCGTTTTCGAGGTCCAGGATGCGTTGAGGGCTATTGCTGAGTTCCTAGATCATCTGCTTGAGACCCTGGAGTTCGGCGGCCGTTTCGTTGTACATGGTCTGGACCTTAGCAATGTCGTCGTCTCCTTTCTTAACTCTGGCTCGGAGTTTGTCGTAGGTTTCCTTTTTGAGGGTGACCTCGTCGTCTGAGTCCACTGCTATCGGGGCTCCCTCGAGTTCCTCAGCCAGGTTCCTGACAGGCTGTTTGGAGGAAGAGGAGCTTCCCGGGGTGGGTGACTTGGCGGAGGCGCGAGAAGATATGCTTTGTCGTTTTACTGTTAGTAGGCGTCAATGGTCAACTTACTGAACAGGAGCAATCAAAGTGTTACGGTCAGCTATCCGACAGTAGGGTCTGCTAACAGAAGCTGGGGATTGACACGTAATAACAGTACACTGGGGTCGTGGTCTGGGTTGTAGGTCGTAGGCTGATAGTAGATCAGGTCTTTCAGAGACTAAGGTGATCAGTCTTAGACTCAACAAGTAACTTGGCAGTGAAGGTAAGCTGAGAGTATCCTGAGGATGAATACTAAGTTGATTGCTGAAGAGCTATGGAAGTCTGATCATGAGGCAGACTCAGGTCATACTATATATAAGTCCTGAACAGTACCCTTTGTCTACCTAAGGGTGATCACCTGGGTGTACGAGGTGATTGCGATCAGTTGGTAGAACCAACTGATCACTGAGCGTCCCTTCCTGTGCTCCACTGATCATTTCCTTATCTTATCATCACGTGACTTGTACCATAGTTCTTCCGTACCGAGTGAGTCCCTGTTGTTCCTGTGATCCTGCAGTACAAATGCCTTGTCCTAGCCGCCCGACACCCAAGTGGGTCGTTCAGCTGTTATCCTTGTTTACGGGTCGTAACACCTTAGCGCAGCTGACGCTAGACATCAGTATATCTCTATCTATATCTTATTAGCAGTTAGATTGCAGCACTTTCTGAGAAGTGTAACTAAGGTAGCGTTCCCTAAGCTTCCTGCTATCTAAGAAGGATCCTATAGTGAGAAGCAGTTTTATAAACTAGTGGTAGTCCTTTGGCGCTTCTGGTACCCCTATTAATAGGTTGCTTAACTGGGAATTCAGTACGCCTTCTAAGTAGTTAATTTTGATCTTATTTTGCTAAGATCCTCCCCCACTTACTGCAAGCTCCTTCTCAAACTTAAGAAAGAAGGAAGTAAAACTCTCGTCCTCTTGTTGCCACATAGTGCGTAACTTATCTAAGGCTTAGGCTTTAGCGTTTAGGTCCCTATACGTTCTATTGAGATAGTCTATGAATTAAGCTAGGGAGGTGTCTCCTCAGGCTACTCTATCAGCGAAGAAGGCAGAGGATGTCGCTTAGGCGGTTCCCTCCAGCCTGGCGTAGATATATGCGAACGCGCTCTCTTCTCCGCCTATAGCTTCAGCGTCGATCTGTAGCTTCAAGTTTATCTCTAGAGCCTACTGTGGAAACCGTCGTCTTATGCTATCGAACTTTAGGGGGTTAGGAAGCATTAGCCTCAGTCATCTAGTTGAGGTTGGTTTATAGGGCTCAGCCACTATTATTATAATTCTGTCGCTTGTTGCCTATGTAGTTATATCAGCTGTGGATGGGGTAGGTATGCTGCTTGCAATCAGCGTAAGGGTTGCTCTATCTGTTGACATAAGCCTGTTCAGAGCTGTTAAGAGCTGCGTCATCTGGTCCTGAAGAGGATGTATGCTTGCGTTGACTGCTTTGTTGATCTGGCGATCAATCTCAGCGTTTATTACGTCGTTTGCACTACCCTCTAGCGGATCTATCATGCCGCTCTCATGAGGTTTCATATAGCTGTTACGGTCAGCTATCCGACAGTAGGGTCTGCTAACAGAAGCTGGGGATTGATACGTTCTAACAGTACACTGGGTCGTGGTCGTAGGTCGTAGTTTGTAGGCTGTAGTAGATCGGGTCTTCAGAGGCCAAGGTGATCAGTCTTAGACTCAACAAGTGATTCGCAGTGAAGGTAAGCTGAGAGTATCCGTGAGGATGAATACTAAGTTGATTGCTGAAGAGCTATGGAAGTCTGACCATAAGCCAGGCTCAGGGTCATTATATACAAGTCTAATTCTGAACATGTTCCTTTGTACCTTGGGTCGATCTGGATCATTCCGATCCAGAATGATCGTTTGGCCCCCAAGTCGTGTTGGATCATATTGATCCAATATGATCGTTATCTTATCATCACGTGACTTGGACCATAGTTCTTCCGTTACCGAGTGAGTTCCTGTTGTTCCCGTGATCCTGCAGTACAAATGTCCTGTCCTAGCCGCCCGACGCCCAAGTGGGTCGGTCAACTGTTATCCATGCATAACGGGTCGTAACATCCATCACCCCTCTGTGTTGTTTATTTGTAGCCCTAAGTGGGCGAGAAGCGCCTATCTAGCCTGGAATCCTAGCCCTAACCTAACTATATTAACCAGTGGGAGGATACTACTATGAGGTGCTACTAGCAATGCTGCAGTATACCAGCTGCAGCCCCTTCTGCAGGCGGGGCGGCGAGTATGTAGGTTGAGCGGCACGCCCTGGTCGTGTTGGCGCGGGATTACGCTGCGTACGGCGGCGCTAAGGCTAAGGGTGGCGAGGTGCAGGAGGGTGAAAAGATGTATGGTGTTGGTGGGGTATGTGAGTTGAATAGCTGACCTGAGGGATGGTGTTTTGGTGCTGACTTGTCTTTAGTGAAAGGAAGCAGAGTTGTTGACTGGTTATAAACCACTCTATCTGGTTATAAATCACTCCTTCGTCGTTGTTATTGCTGCTGGCGCCTGGCTGCGAGATGGGTAGGGGTTTGATGTTCGACTGGATAAAGAGATTCTGGAACGACATAAAGGCTTGATAGATATATAGGTTAGCATAGGCAACTCGAGCTGTCCATGGCAGCATATATTCGCTGATCCCATCGCAACGCAACATCGTTAGGGCATTGTGAGCAAGGCCATGAGACTAGACTCTACGGTCACTTGGCCTTGGCAGTTCTAAGCGGCTGTCCTGTTGTGGTTGCACCTTTGCGTGTGTACGTCAGGGAAATTATCTAGCGTATCGTACTACCTCTTGTGAGATGGAGCAGCGCTGCTGAGGTATGTGGGGTGAAGTGTAGCTCATAATAAGTTTTCATGTGGGGTATGGGAGTGGTGGTGATGTGTCCTGGCTGGGCTGTCGGCAAGGCGTTCCATTATTAGTCTGAGTCTCTGGCCATTCTTCAAAGTATTACTCCAAGTCTGTTCGTGCATTCTTTATCTTTGCATTTTTTCCCTACCCGATTTCAAATCGCTGTTCCAGTATGGAAGATCTCCAATCGCTAAACTCCGTATTTCCACGGGGAACACCACAATATGGACGAAGTCGGGAGCAATACTTCAATAAGGACGAGACAGACAGATTTCCTAGTGAGATACACAACGTGACGACAAGCGAAGGGGTTGTTGCGGCTCTTCGCAGAGCGCGAGCCCTTGAAGTCTCAGTGGGCGTCCGGTCGGGAGGTCACCTACCATCGAAGCCATCTTTAGTTGACAAGGGGATCCTCGTTGATACTAGTCAACTGAACCGGAAGGTAGAGTACGATCCCAAAACACATGAAGTCAGCTTTGGTCCTGCAGTCCGTGTCTACGAAGCTTGGAAAGCAACGGATGCGCTTGGGCGATTCTTTCCGTTCGGCCACGCACCTGACGTTGCACTTGGCGGCTTTTGCCTCGCAGGCGGCCAAGGCCTGTTTATGAGAGGATGGGGGGCTACGATCACTGAATGGATCGTCAAATTGGAAGTCATCGTGCCCGACGGTCGCGTCCTTCTTGTGAGCCGAGACGAGCACTCCGACATTTTCTGGGCAGCGCGGGGTGCAGGCCAGGCGTTCTTCGGCGTCGTGACAAAGATATGGAGTCGAACTATTCCCAAGCGACAGTTGTTTTCCAGATCCTTCACTTTCAATGTGGGAGATGACTTCGAAGAACTCCTCATGTTCGCCTTCGACCGGAACAAGGCGACCCCGAAAATGTTCACCGAGACCGCCGTTTGCATTATGCATCCGGAACTGCTTGATACCTCGGCCGAGGAGATACTCTCCACATCATCACCATTGTTGCTGTCGATCAATGTTCTGGCCTACTCCAATTGCCTGGACGATGCTGAAAATTTGCTGAGCGCTTGGAATTCAGTGCCTGCTGACCTTCAGAAAGCTATTATTGAAGTCCAACCTACCAACCATAGTTACGGCCTGGGACGACTTCTTTTACCTGCAGCGTCAGATCAATCCCGACAATCCCGAACAGAAATGGGGTATACATAGTATTCTCAATGATCCATCAGTATCTATTTCAGAGGTAGGGAGTGAATCTAAGTTCCCAACCGTGCGCTGAAGTATTCTAACTAGGATCGTTCGTTACAGCTGGCCAGGGCCATCAGACCTGCAATGTGCGACCTACCCACCAAGTCCTCATTTGGCTGGATTTATATGTGCGATACTTTGACTCCGGACGAAAACGACGCCGTCTTCAGTCTGCCGCAGCAGTACTACATCTCAACCTTCAGTGGCTGGAAGGATTCGGCACTGGTGCCAAAAGTGCGCGACACGATGAGGAGAACGTATGGAAAAGCCTCCACAGTAGCTTGCGGTATGTACATAGCCGACTTCGATCAATCATCTGGGTCTCTTCATTCTCCAAAGGTATGTAGGAAGCTCTAACATTAGGGGTGAAGATTGACGTCATTGGTTAGATCAGAGTTTGGACCGACTCGGCCCGTGAACGATTCGCGAAAATTCGACAGCAGTGGGATCCTGATAGGTTGTTTCAAGGGTACAGAGCATTCGAACCTGAAGATCATGCCATTAAATGAACTCTCTGAGGACACAAACATTGATAAACTTAGACAATTGCATTTCGATACTCTCAAAGATCTGACTCATTATGAAGCGGCGTGCAAAAAGGATTTTGCCCTTGAGATAACCATTGTACTTGATTCGCCAGCCATTTACATGTTAGATTACAACTTTAAGTCTGCCTCCCAGCCATTTAAGCGACTTTCACTGTCTCCTTGGACAAACTTCGCTAAGGCGGCTTACCAGTGTCATGCACGCACACAATCCCGCATTACAGCAGCCGAGTAGTCAGCAGACAGCTGTTGAGGCAATAATATTCGTTTTCTATCAGCTGAAAACTTTGGACTTTCCGCTCAGCAGTCATCATCTCCACTATTCGCCCCTTATGGGTGCTTCTATTGTGATGGAAATATATTACGAATGCAAGAAGTCTGCTATCCGAAGATCTCTACAGCACATTTGTTGCTTCTTAGTATGGACGGGTGCAAACACTCATGAGTCTTATTCACCATTTTTTTTGTTATGCTTTTGATGGATTCCAACAATAAAATATTTGCAGCTATATTCAGGATCCGTAGTTCATGCCCTCAAGGTCTGTTTCAGCCTCAACGTACTGTCGACGGATGATACCCTCATGGGCAGGGGATCGACACAAGATATCGCACAAAAATGGCTCCGGAACACTCAGAAATCCCGGCATCATTCTTGTTGTTGGGATCACCACCGACCCGTCGGAGTGTACTTTCTTTCTAATGTCAAACCCCCACAATGTACGAGCAATAACGATGAACAGCGACTTCTCTGCCAAGTGAACTCCGGGGCATGCCCTCCTGTATTTTTGAGTCAGTGACTGTTTAGGCTACCACCGAGTTTTGGGTGTCTTGCCTTCCTGCGCCGTATGAGAAATGATCTCTGTCATAGGGGTCCGGTGCATTCATGTACTCGGCTGCTGTGAGGGGGTGCCCAAGAAAGCGCGCAGGCTCAAAAATGTCCGGCTGTTCAAATCGACCGGAGTCCCGCTGAATAGCCCTGGTTTGGATGACCACATCAGCCAGATAGTCTTGCAAAGGATAGGCAAAACGTACCACCAATTCAACACTACTGTTGACCCTTTGGGAATGAAAAAGCCATCATACCAGTCATCCTCGGTAGAAGCGTGGTACATTCCGAACTTATTGACAGGCCGCCATCGCAACGTCTCTTTGATCATTGCTCGAATGTACGGAAGGTTCTTTTCGTCGTCCCAATTCGGTAGCCGGCCAGACCCAACAACGCGATCCAATTCTTCCTGGCCTTTTCGCATGGCGTCGGGGAAGAGTATCATTGCAAGAGTCCAATTGTTGATTGTCGTGGCTGTTGTTTCTGCCCCAGCCTCTACGAGGCCACCGCACGTATAGGCCGCCAATAGGTCGTCTATGCCATTCTTCCTTGGATCACCGAGGTAGAAATCTTTACAGAAGCAGTCCCTCGCGCTTCCATCGTCTGTAGTTTGTTTGAGAGTTTGCCATAGCTCCAGGTAAACTTTGCTGTCATGGGCAAATGCATTTCTACCCCAAGTCCTCCAATTCCCGAAGAAGCGTTCTGGAAGTCTAGCCAATGCCGGCAGAACCTCAACAGCAAAAGCTCCAGGCGCCATCATTACTGACAAATGTTCCAGAACAGTGAAGATCTTAGTTATCAGAGGGTCTTGAAAGGATGGAATGCGATAGCCGTATGTAGCGAGCAATATGACGGATGTCGAATATCTCCGGTTGATGGTGTAGTATTGATCTGGCTGATTGAGAAGGTCCTGCAGTAGTACCCTTGACTCCAGCTCTTGTGTCGATTGATATTTCTTTGTGGCATTCAGATTGAGAAGACTGTGACTGTGTTTCCGCAAATTTCGCCAGTCCTGACCGTAAGCCATGAAAAGCTGTCGAGATCCACCGCTAGCCACATCTTGAGCTAAAGGTGAGTGGGGCCGTGACGAATAGATCGCAGACTTCTTGTCCATTAAGTCTTTAACAGCCTTGGGAGATGACAGCCAGACGTAATCTGTAGCCCCAACCTTGGTGTAGAAAACATCGCCATAAGTCTGGTGCCAGTTGCGAACCTTCTCTCTGACTGATTCAGAATCTGCTAGATCAAACAAATTGCCTACGATCGGCAGTCCTCGTGGCCCTGGAGGCAGTTTTCTCCTTCGTGAGTCCTGAAAAGTGATTCCCATCAGCACAGGACTGCGGGGTAATAGCCGAGCCACACTTACGGTTATCCGATTGGGGACCAAGCACAAGTAAATGCTCGTGAGAGCAACAATAAAAGCAATCGTTAAGTGCCAAACCATGAAATCCGAATTCCAAACCCGAAAGAAGGCGGGGAGGGACGAGGGCTCGTGTTGCTGGAATTTCATCATTACTGAATTTTAAGGTTGTTGAGATACTACCTTCGAATGTCGACGCAAAACCTCCAGCACGAAAATTATGTTTTGAAGTTCGCTCGAAGCAAGAGTAGGGAGTAGACATTGATTTACCCCAGGCTCCCCCATACTCTGCTCGCGTAAGGTAGTGAGTGTGGAGTGGGGAATTTAGTTTCAACGTAGAATGTCCACGCATGTGGGGAGCACCAACTCTTCCAGAAGCGCAGATTCGGAAGAAACCCGAGATCATCTTATGAAGTGCTATGGCTCGATACGTAAACCTATCTAAATTGCAGAATATTTGTTTCTTAATCTCGCGGAAGCTCATCAAAAAAGACGCAATGTTAAGGAGGACAAGATTCACTAGACTTTGAATCGCCTCCTTGGGTCAGATCGTAATTGTAAGCTCAAATCTTTCAACAACATAGTGGTACTTCACGCGACATCCATCATATGGTAGGCAGCAGGTGAGTTATTCCACTAAGCACAATATGATTTCTTCCTCTGGCCTAAGCTGGAGCAGTGATTTTGTTAAAACAGACGAACAACTACTCTTGGCTTCAGTGTCGCATGGTCGACACAATCTACTGACGCTTGCGAGCCTTACGACTTGTTTTCTTTCTCTTCATTGAATGCCAAGATGACCTTCTCGGCAACCTTGAAACCCTCAATTCCAGCTGGCATCCCACAGTAGATAGCGGCCTGAAGTAGTGTTTCCCTAATCTCGACTTCGCTGGCTCCGTTTCGAAGAGCCCCCCAAACGTGTGCTGCGAGTTCCGGCGCCCTATTCAAGGCACATAACATTGCAATATTGAGTAACGACCGCTGCTTTCTTTCGAGACCAGGCCTTGACCACACCGATCCCCAGCAGGCCTCAGTCACCAGCTCTTGCATTGGCCGCGCGAATTCGGAGGAACCTCCGGTCAAAGTCCACATATGTGCGACCGGCAACCTCATATCGTATTTCAAGCCCTTTGTCGTAAAGTGTTTTGTGAGCGGACTGTTCATTTTCAGTGACGTTTGTCTTTTCTGACGTCATGTCGATTGTTGACGAGGTAGGAAGTTCTGGGTAAGCACGATTGCTAGAAGACAGAACTTGAATTTGCTGATCGAGGACTTTGTTCAACATAAGATAACTGTAGTGTATCACTTCATCGGCTTGAAAACAGATGTAGCCACGGATACTAATGAGAGACCTAGTGACAGCAGCTCCGAGTCGAAGAGGGGGTCCTCGACATAATTCTGAGCCGGCATTGGCATCTCTGAAGACTTTCGAACAAACCGCTCTAACGCTACGCTGTCTCTTCTATGTGGGGAAGACGTCTGTGGTAACGGGGGGCATCTCATAATGTGGAGAAGACAGCCCCGCGCTTGACGGCGTACCCGACCACGCGCAAATTGGACTGTGCACCCCACGTTTTGTGTCATTTGGCAGTCACAGTGCAAGCAAGGCGACTCAACGACAACAAGATGAAGACAGTGGCTCAATCCTACGCCCTTTTGAGGCTACATTTTGACTACGATACTCCTTGAAAGTTAAATGCCTGATAGACGGATAATGAAATGCGACGGAAACTACATCGCCTCCCCATGCGCCTCCCCATGCGCAACACCTCGTATGTCAGCGCTACGATTCAGAAACAACCATCAGCGAGACACAGGCGTTTGGCTTTTCTTAAAGTCATCCTCCCAATCTTCCTGGCCTCCAATATGCCTGAAAAGCACCCGAGAGTCTAGATCTCGACACTCTGCGGATTGGCTCGCTTTAGTGTATGCCTCTAAGCCAGCAGTCCCCAGTAGCAGGTTTGCGCCGACTGTTTCTGCAGTCGAAACAGCTAACCCAAAGTCTTTTGCCATCAATTGCACTTTGAAGCCGCCCCTATATCCGTGACTGGACGGTGCATCTGGGCATATGCCAGGAACAGGATTGAACTTGTCGCAAATTGTGCTCTGTGCCGTGCTTTTGGAAAAGACCCGTGAAAGTAGCCGTGGATCCATACCTGAACGCATGCCGATGTTCATGGCCTCAGCTGTGGCGAGTGAAATGAGTCCAGAGCAATAGTTGTTGCACAGCTTTGCGGTGAGACCCATGCCCGGGCCCCCGCATGCGATGATATTCTTGCCCACGAGTCCCAACAAACCTTCGACGAGTGACCAGTTACTATCGTTCTCAGAACAACCAACCATGAGAGTGAGAGACGCTGCCACTGCACCAAGAGTACCTCCTGACACTGGGGCATCATAGAACGCGACGTCAGTGAAACGCGACTTGACTGCAGTGGACACTGCGAGAGACGTCTCAGTGTCAATGGTAGAGCAGTCAAGAAGCAGGCGAGCGGACATCTTCGAATGCAGGATGCCGTCAACAGGATCCAGGTAGACAGCTCTCACGTGGGAACCTTCTGGCAGCATGGTGAAGATGATATCCTACAAAGCTCGTTAAGTAATGCCCGTTGACTTATATTGGGTCAAACCTTACTGTTCCTCGAGACACCTCTTTCGGTGAGTGACAGATTGACACCGACTGCCCGTGAGCTTCGGCGAAGGATTTCATAGCTTCCTGCGAGACGTCGTAGATGCATATCTTATAATCCTTAGCCAACTTCGCGGCAAGGTTGGAAGCCATGGGAGCACCCATTGCACCAAGACCAATAAAACCCAGCCGGTGATACATTTCCATTATGCAAGTATTAGAAATAAGGAATTGTCACCGGTTTTTGATGGCGTTGCGTTTAGAAAGTGAGGTCGTTAGATGGTGAGTGGCGACTGGCTGCGAAAAGGAAGGGTGCAATGTGCTCCCTTTTAGGGGTTTCCCGGGCGGCGGGGTAAGTAACATACAATACTTACCTACAGCCAGACGCCCACCACACATTGTTCTGCTTACTCACATGTCAAATTTCTCACATTTTCTCTGTCCGATTTTGGCTGTGGGGGCACGGATTGCTCATTCAAAAACTCATACTCGGCTAGATTGTTCCAGGGAAGAAAGCGGTCTTATGAGTATTTGCCCATTCCGCGTCATGAGCAAATATAACTTCCAAAGACATGCCGCTTGTCTTGAACGCCTCCGTCCACTCTGAAATCTTTTTAAGAGTTTCGGCAGCCTTTATTTTGTCCATGTGGATACAGCACGTCCGTCCTGTATCATCTGTCCATTCTGCAATGGCTTCCCTTCCATGAAGCAAACGCTGGTCATGACAGGCGTCCCCAATAAGTAAAGCCCATTTCCCAGTGCCTATTCGTGCTAAAAGGTTGATGTGGCCGATTAGATGACCGGGCGAGTCGACAATGTAGAGTGAGCCGCTGTCGCTACCTCCAAAATCGAAGATCTTCAGCCCGCCAACGTCGTGCCAGCTATCATCCATTTCAGATGCCATCTTTGCGGAGCGCGACAACTCTTTAACTTCGACGTTGTCGAAGAGGTCGGATTCAAAGTTAGAGTGAGACAAGTGCCCGTTCAGGCCAGTCTTAAGCAGGTTGAGAGATCCCGCACCGACGAAGAATTCTGCTGCGGGAAAGTCGGATGGCGTTCCGATATGATCCCAGTGAACATGGCTGAGCACGACTTGATTGATACTTCCCGGACTCAGACCACCTTCGAGCAGGCTCTGGCGCACGTCTGGGAGGGGTAGTATTGGTTGCCGACTTTTTAAATGATGTTGTATCGGTTCCGAATAGTTGCCAGTGTCGCGGCGAAGACCCAGGTCAAATAGAATGCGCCTAGCGCCATTTTTCTTGCATTTCTGTACGATCAAGAAGGAGAGTGAAGGCACCAGAACCCTCTCTGTGAGGGAAACCCCTGACACAAAAAGACTATTGGGAAGGGTGAATTCACCGCCACGCAGAGCGGAAACGCTGACGATGCCACGGGCCGAGGCCTCGAGAGCAAGTAGGGACGATTTGAGAATGTCGTTGTTTGATGTCATTGTTGAGTTGAGTAGGGGCCTTGGCGGGCACACAAGCAAGGGCTTGAGGATATACTTTATGTACTCTTGTGTGCCGACGCAGGGTAGGCGTCACCAACGTCATTTGACGGTGCGCGTTGAATTGAATCAACTATTCCTTGTCTAGTTAAATAATGTTCCCTGAGAAACTCATGACGTTGCGAACAGAGACATGAGCACTCGACTCGATGCCCGTCAAAGTATGCAGCTTCCCAAATAACAATCTCAGACCGCCGAGGCACTCACTGCCCCCCTCCCCACATACATTTTCCATGTCGTTTCTGTAGATGAACCTTGCCAACCCACCAGTACCCCACACTATGCCTCGTCTGAACGCCTTCGTAAGATGGTATTAAGTGAGCTTCACTGTTTGGCCATTCATAAGATTCCATAGGGAAACTCAGACATGTTCCACCCATTTTCCAATGTCAAAGATTATAGCTGGCGCGACTGCCTACATAAATGCTTTCGAAGCGGTCTCTGCTTTCCAGCCTGCCCAAGCACAGCTGTGAATGGTCGACCACGTGGCTTTTGGCTGCATCAATTATACGGGTGTACGCAATTGCCAGACGATTGAGTGCTTCTCCCATTCGAGGTGTAATGCCCCAGATCCAGACCTACGTCGGTAATGTTAAATATTCAAACCTTGCCGTCAGTTCTGGTCACTTACATCGTGCATGAACCAACCCCAGGTCTTGGCCACGGCCGCCGATAAGCACGAAGCTTCACTCAGTTCGCATTCTGCTTCTTCGAGAGCCTCTCTGATGGTGGTAAGCAGCTTGCTTTCGGCCGCAGTCGGCTGTATGCCAGCAAAGACACCAATCTCTATGGAATAGACCCATTTAGACACAAGAATTGCTATCGAAGATTTCAGTTCAACTTTCATAGCCCTGTATCACTGTGTATGCTCTTACCGCTTGACCATCCTGCTACTGCGTGCTCCACGCTCCAACGGAATGCTGCTGTCTTTCGTACAAGCAAGTGACCAATTCTGACTGGGATCTTGAAGCCTTCGAAAGATTTTGAAATGATATCGAGTAATTGCGGGCTGCGTTCCATTTTCGCAGTCACAAATGAAGATATTGCCGCGTCAATATCTGCATCATCTGTGTTCATGAGGCTAATTCTGATCGAAGGACCAGCAATGCGGGTGTAAGCAATTCGCAATATAGCTTGGCAGTTAAATACGAGGGAGCATTCTTGGTCCTTTTCATGCTCGTCAGCATCCGCATGTGGAAGCTCACTCCTGACTCCTTGAAGGAAATCATCGCATCGAGCTAAAGACTGCATGGCGCTTCGCAGCAATGATGAGCTGAGGGGGTCATGTTCAGAGCTGGAAGAAAATAACGAATTTGTTGATGTGAGCGCTTGGCAGACTTGGAATCGCTGCCACATGTGTACCACCAGCGCATGTACAGCAACGAGAGCGGTGAGTGGTGATACGTGGTAAGGCATGGTGTTCGCGTGATACTTCCCTTCGAGTAAAATGTCCACTAGGACATCTTTGATGGTGTGGCGCCTGCTTTCTTTCTTCGTTCTGATGCTGATGTATGTTTCTCTCCAGTCATCAGGGGACCCCGCATTCCACAGGATTTCATCGCTGTACACTGGGATATCCAGGTCTTGAGTTGCGTGAAACCCCGGGTTAACTTCGTGTATGACCATTGTCAACGTGCTTTCAATGAATATGCCGCCTATCAATCGTTTCCATGATTCAAGCTCGATCCATAATTGCCAATCCATGGTGTCTGATTCAGGGGCGTCTCCCGCTACAGCTGCTCGGGCTTTGCTGTATACCTAGCTCTCGGTCAGAAGTTAACAAAGGAAACCTCACGATAATTAGGTGAATAGCAATATATCGTACCAAGGTGTAAAATCCGTTGTCTCTCATGGTATCGTTAACAAGTTCTCTATCGCCACTCATTATGGCGAAGAAGCTAAGCAACACTCGCGCCTGCACAGTCCAAAGAGCATAGTCCTTGACAACAGCTCGTCCATCAGCAGGCAATGGGTTTTTAATCTGCTGGAGCGGAGATCAAGGTTAGCAAATATGTCTCACACACCTTCATCAATTGGCCAAGGGTATTGGTGTAGTTTAACTTACATCTCCTGAGCTCTGCTTTGCCAAATTGTACATCATTCTAGCCCGGCGACGATCGAGACGATAGAGCGCACCAATAGCACATATTGCGAGGATCAGGGGGCTTGGAACGTGTTGCAGTTCCAGTGTCTGAATGTGAATGAGAGGGAAGTGGATGTGAAAGCATGTGATGTAGCTTGACAAACAGCTTTGGAGAAATTTGGCAGCGGGAATGGGAGTGTTCTGGTCTGGGTTTGGCAAGCGACGAAAAAGGTCTTGTTGAATGCGATCCCAGGTTTCGTCAGTGATTGTAAACGTGGGGCATGGGGGATGCCCGTCCTCGGAAAGAGACGGCAGATCGGACGCACGTTCCGTCCCTCGCACTTCCGTTGGACTCACCAAGGGCACGCTCGAAGGCCCAACAGCAGCCTGGGCGCCTTTCCGGGAATTTGGCGGATAGTCTCCAAGTGGGCCAGATGTAGCAAGACCACCAGTCTCTACATGATGGAGATCCTCGCTGATATCGCCAGCCTGGTGAGTTAAAGAAGCGAATTCGATTGCAGCACGATTTAGCTCTGCTATTGTGTTTGGTGAGAAGACAAACGATCCTGGATCGTTATGCATCGCGACAGAGTGGTCCGTGTGCTGATCCGTTCCTCCTGGGACATGTTGGCGAAGCACTTCCGTTGGTTCGTGACTGGGTACGTTTGCCGACGGTCCTGGGAGCCCGAAGTCCATGTCCATCTCTTGGCAAATATCTGAAAACAACGCCGGGTCAATCATGTCCAGTTCTAACGCTTCTAGCTGATGTGGTCGCGGATCAGCGGTATTTGGGCTGGAAGACTGGGTCTGCGCCCTTCTTGAACCATTCGAGCATTCTTCAGAGGTTTCGTCACACCTCTGACCTGGCAACCTTGGTTCCAACTCTGCTTGGACGATGCCTTCCAAGATGACGTCGCGGTCTTCCACGCCAAATGGAGAGGCTGTTTGGAAATTTGCTTCGAATCGACCGGTAATGGGAGAGGAGGCTGAAGAAGCTATGTCGTTACGTGGAGACTGGTACTCGAGGGACTCTGGGTAAGACTGTCTTTCCAGATCTATCTCTTCGCCGTCCGAAATATCGTCGCTGACAGGTGTCTCGTGGTTTGTTGCTTGCGTCGATAGTGAACATGCCACTGTCACCTCGTCGGCGATCTTCTCGTTGTTGTGCAACTTCGCATGTAGAGTGCGCTCGTGTCTTGTTACCAAATCTCTGGGCACCAGTGGTACTTTAGTGAACTGTCATCCACGAGAGCGATGGGATCAAGATGTGCATCCACATACTTCCTTCCATAAGACTTGTGGCAGTACCGGCAGATATATGGCTTCTCTCGGGTATGGGTGCGCTGGTGTCGAATGCAATGCTCACTGCGCTTGAACGCTTTGGGGCAGTATCCGCACTTGTACTGACGCTGGGGGCGGTCTCTCCGTGCGACCGCAGCTGGGTGATCGTCGTTTGGCGACATAAGCAAGCTGGATTGTTCGTTCTCAGATTTTCGACGCAAGCCCTGTTTGAGGCTTTCAGATAGGGCTGGAGACTCGGAGGATGGCGGTGGCTGCTCAAGTTGTGACGATGGCGAAGTTCGTGTTCGACACTCAACGTTGCGGGGTGTCGGGTTGTGCAGTTGCCGAGCCAGTCCGGGGCAGCTTACGCAGAACAAGGGTTTGCCTGGCTCACACACTCGTAGGTGGGCCAGCCCCCCTGTAGACGGCACAGTGGCAGCTGCACCCCAGAAGGCACAGTTGGAAGTTGGCTAAACTCGGCGGGGGCGAAATGCGGGGAAAAGACGGGGACTGCGCGGCAAAGTCACTGTTCGAGTGATAATGGTTTGCTAAATGTCTAGTGCTACTGGTCTTGCTTACAGAGGTTTGCAAAATCGGTGTCCGTTTTGCAAGTCTAAAAATTTAGTTGAGCACAGACCAGTCGGTCTTGGCGCGTACGGGGTACATTGCCAAACGGCTGGGGTACTTCTCTATGGAAAACAGTACATCAGCTGCAGAAGCCAGAACTGGCTTTTCACCTAAAATAGCTCTTGAAGGCAGCAAAGCCACCTACCTTTACTGCTGACTCTCAGCCCAAGGTATGGGGGTGTAGCAGCCCAAAAGTGCCTAACAGCCAAAACTGCAATCGTCTTGCTTATACGCAACCCCACTACAAAAGGTCGCTCGAGGCGAAAAGACTCTACATATATCCAAGCCAGAATAATCAGCTTCGGGATTTTTTTCCACTTCAGCCATAGTCATCCATCAGCAGGTACAGTGCACATACTCATGCCGCCCTCAACTCGCCTGTGTATCCCATCAACTGCTGTATGATGTTAGTACAAGATGACCCGCATTTTCTCTAAATTCGCCCTTTTCGAATTTTTTGACTGGTTGGAATAGGCTGGAGACCCAGTTTTCTTCGCATATCGATACACCGACGTCATGCAGCAGTCGATGGGATAGCGCCCTGTGCTAGGGATGTTAAAGATGCCCAGCCTAGCGCAGCGCGTCCTCAGGGGCAGGAACTCATAGTAATGTGCGTGCTGAATCCGCCAACCCCACGTCCAGCCGAGTACCCAGGCAACTCACAGAGCAGGCATGCCACCATCAGTTTGAGTCCAGCAATAGTGTCTCCTTATATTGAACACGACGTACGGTGTGTTGGGTCTCAGCATTCAAGGCTGACGCCCCTGCCTGAGGGAACAACATCACCATGTGAAAGATTAACCACCCACATTCATATTATCATCATTTTTTATTGTAAGGGTCTAAGACAAGGTTGATGCTATTGACCTAGACTATTGCTACGAGCATTCTAAACTGAAGGATAAAAATCTTACACTCATAAGCGCTGGTGTGCTGCCCTCCTTATGTAGACGTTGTGCTTCTTTCCAGAACTTTCTGTTGCTTGAACGTAAGCAAGACTCCATGTCCTTCCCTAACTTTCTATTGCTGAGGATCTAGCTGAAGCTTCACATCAGTCCACAGACTGTGATAACTTATTATTGCAGGAGTAGTACATAGCACAAAAAGAGAAAGAATGTAGAATATTCTAGGACTTCTTATAACTGTGCTTATCAAGAATAAAAAGAAAGTTTCTCCCAGACCCTTCCTGCGTCACGCATTAGCGATAAGTAATATAGAGTATAACTAATGTGGGCAATCGATGTAAAGATGTGTAGCTAACTAATTGGTACTTTACAGCTGTAGATACTCTGACTTAAAACACAAAAGTAACAGGCGCCCTGACTGACATCCAACGGCTATTTTTGATCCATCTTCCGCATGAGACCTTGCACGGTACTCCGGCGGTAACCAAAGAATATTTTGAGACCTATTCGTGATCCATGCGTCCTGTTGTGAGAGCATATAACGCTGACCCATAAGGTCTCCAGTTGGTTCCTGGATCGCTACCTCGAATACGTTCTCCAAGCTGTTGTGGCCCTCGAGCGTCTGCTGGCACTGGCCGGTAGCCGTGTCCCAGAGCTTGACGGTCTTGTCGTCAGAGCCTGAGGCAAGCTGGCGCCCATCCGGCGAGAAGGCCACCAAGTTGACCGAGCTGCTGTGGCCCTCGAGCGTCTGCTGGCACTGGCCGGTGGCCGTGTCCCAGAGCTTGACGGTCTTGTCGAGGGAGCCTGAGGCGAGCTGGCGCCCATCCGGCGAGAAGGCCACCGAGTTGACGTAACTGCTGTGGCCCTCGAGCGTCTGCTGGCACTGGCCGGTGGCCGTGTCCCAGAGCTTGACGGTCTTGTCGTCGGAGCCTGAAGCAAGCTGGCGCCCATCCGGCGAGAAGGCCACTGAGTTGACGTAACTGCTGTGGCCCTCGAGCGTCTGCTGGCACTGGCCGGTGGCCGTGTCCCAGAGCTTGACGGTCTTGTCGTCGGAGCCTGAGGCGAGCTGGCGCCCATCCGGCGAGAAGGCCACCAAGTTGACGTAACTGCTGTGGCCCTCGAGCGTCTGCTGGCACTGGCCGGTGGCCGTGTCCCAGAGCTTGACGGTCTTGTCGTCGGAGCCTGAGGCGAGCTGGCGCCCATCCGGCGAGAAGGCCACCAAGTTGACGTAACTGCTGTGGCCCTCGAGCGTCTGCTGGCACTGGCCGGTAGCCGTGTCCCAGAGCTTGACGGTCTTGTCGTCGGAGCCTGAGGCGAGCTGGCGCCCATCCGGCGAGAAGGCCACCAAGTTGACCGAGCTGCTGTGGCCCTCGAGCGTCTGCTGGCACTGGCCGGTGGCCGTGTCCCAGAGCTTGACGGTCTTGTCGCGGGAGCCTGAGGCGAGCTGGCGCCCATCCGGCGAGAAGGCCACTGAGTTGACCCAGTCGCTGTGGCCCTCGAGCGTCTGCTGGCACTGGCCGGTGGCCGTGTCCCAGAGCTTGACGGTCTTGTCGCGGGAGCCTGAGGCGAGCTGGCGCCCATCCGGCGAGAAGGCCACCAACCTAACGTAGCTGCTGTGGCCCTCGAGCGTCTGCTGGCACTGGCCGGTGGCCGTGTCCCAGAGCTTGACGGTCTTGTCGTCGGAGCCTGAGGCGAGCTGGCGCCCATCCGGCGAGAAGGCCACCGAGTTGACCCAGTCGCTGTGGCCCTCGAGCGTCTGCTGGCACTGGCCGGTGGCCGTGTCCCAGAGCTTGACGGTCTTGTCGTTGGAGCCTGAGGCGAGCTGGCGCCCATCCGGCGAGAAGGCCACCGACCTGACGGAGTTGCTGTGGCCCTCGAGCGTCTGCTGGCATGCGTTCCAGTCTACGTCTCCCTTTGTAATCATGGTAATCCAGGCTGGTACTTCTGCTCGGAAAAGTTGCCTTACTACGCTGTGGGTAGGGCTAAATAAAAGAGCAGCTATGTATAGTTGCAATGGAAAGCTTTCTATACATTGTTTATAAGAAAGGACAAATCGACAGGCATCTCGGACGAGTTCTATAAGTTGTGTTTCCATACTTGCCTGATGTACTGTTAGGCGTATCCTGAGATGTAGTTCAATTAGACTTACGACCAATGTTTGGAGTTTCCGCATTGCCACTACTGCTTGTGGCATGCCTTTCAGAAGACTCTGAGCCTCTAGCCAGTGGAGATAATGGCGTTTGAGGAAATTGTGAACGCTAGCGTTGTCCCGTAAATCAACGCGCGCCGGGCCGTCTGTGGGATTTGAGTGCTCAAGATGGTCGACCCAGTGGGCAGACGAGTACTTCAGAGAAGCCAGAGGGTCTGGGTGAGGTGGTGATGTGTCCTCTATAGAGCTTCCAGGTTTGCGCAGCTCATAGATGTCGCGTCTAAGCGTCCTAGATAGTACATCTAAAGACCTTGAGAAGATCGCGTGGTGCTGGTGTGCAATGCCAGAAGGTAGAATCTGGCCAAGTGCTGGGTATGCCTCGTTCATCAAGAAATCCTTGGCCGACTGGTGGACAAAGTAGATTGTGTCCTGGCGAATAGTGAGAAAAGAGCCGCAGATGCTAATGATATACCGGAGGAATTTAGGATTGCTCGCCAGGGGATGATGCTCCTTGATGAGTATGGTGAACTCAGCTAGTGAAAGTGGGCGATAGGTCGTCACCACGAGGGCAAGTATTTGCCTACAGAGCCCAGTGTCCCTTTCTCCTTCTCTATCAATTTGTTCCATCATCCGTCCATAGAGAGCATTAAGTCCAGGTGGGAAAGATTTTATCTTCTCTAAGGCGTCCCATTCTGATGTCTTCTCGAGTTCTTGGCAAATTAATGCGACCCAGAGAAATGTGCCGGCGGCATTTGACGACAAATACTGACGTGCTTCACTGGCGGTATTGGGTGAGTAGCCCTTGAGTTCGCCGAGTTTTGATATCTTGAGCGTGATGTAGCTGTCCACAGCTGTTGAGACCGACTTTGCATTAAGTTCTAGTGATAGCCTTTGCGCTGCGGTACGCAGCCGTTCTTCGATCCGCAACCAGTTGCGGCTTGAGACGAGCCATTTTACACTGGTTGATTGCGATGTTTTGGTAATCAGGTCGAGCAGCTGATCGCGGCCCGTTAAGCACTCGTCTAATGCATCGACAAGAAGGCACACACCTCGCAGCTTCGAATCGTGGAGCATATTTGCAAAGATCTCAGACATCGCCTGCCATGCGTTGACGTCTTGAAAAAGCGCCTTCCCAGCCTTTTCGTACTTCTTCATATACGAAACAAGGGACGGGTCTTGGTCGAGAAGCATGAAGATCAAGCCGCGCAGTACCGCCGTCGCCGTATTAAGTCGCTCGTCGGTGGCTTGACAGAAGAAGTAGGACAAGGGTTGCCCCTGACCGCGTGTTGCTTCAAGCTCGTCGATGATGCCGCATAGAAGCATGGTCTTGCCCTTGCCCGGGTCGCCCTTGACCCAAAGCAGTCGCTGGTCCTGGTTGTCACGCCACTGGCAGAAGTCGGAGTTCTGAAGCACCCAGACGTAGGAGTCAGTAAGTAAACCGCCCTTGGTCTCCTGGATGCGTTTCTTGTCGTCGCGTGGGTCGGTAACACGTAGGTCGGCCAGGCATTTCTTGAATTCCTCACTCTGTTGCATCTCCTCTTGTCGCTTGGTGTGGTGTTGAATAGCAACTTCAATATTTTGAAGCATCTTAGGTAAAAGTTGAAGTTCCTTGAGCTGAGAATTTGCGGCGTCTTCTAGGGATTCAAGGCTTTGAAGTGTCTTTTCGGAGGTGTATTGCTTCGAGCATCTCCGCACGTCAGCTTCAACAACCTTGATGTCGTCAAGCTTGCCAGCCCAATCATCCAACTTAATAACGTCTCTGAGGAAAACATCAACCCGGCTCCTGTGGTAAAGGCAGATGCTCTTCATCTGGTAGAGCAAGAGCATCTGGTAAAGATAGACGATGTGCTTCTGAAGCTGACTACGCAGCCCTTCAAAATCCGGGCCGGCATCCTTCGGTTTGAGGAGGAGATTAACCAAGTTCCAGTACCAGTCCATCATGGAAACAACGTATTCAATGCCATTGCGTTGAGTAACTGATTCGAAGACTGGGTTGGCAAGTATCTATATGGTATTAGTGGATGTTTGTAAATCCGTGGAGCAACTGACCTCAAGAGCAAAAGAGACGCCAACCCAAGCGATAGCAGCTTCGGGAGCAGCCTGTACAGCCTTCCCGATTACTTCCTTCAGAGGGGAGATGACCCGAATCACGTCGCTGGCTTTCTGTTTGAATTCTGCCTCCTTTTTCGTCTTCTGCAGCCCGACCTGGACAAGAAGCTCCATCTGGTGCCATCTTTCCTGCGGGTCAGGTTTGATGTGGTTTTCAGCTGAAGCGGCAGGAGTATGACTATCACCGGGAAGTTCGGCCGATAGGAGGTTCTCGTATGTTTCGACTAACTTGGATTCGCTCCGCTTCAGGTTGTCGTACGCCTCGTTCCAAAGCCGCTCTTTGAGGTTGTTTGCTGTTGAGATTGGTGTCTGAAGGGGCGAGGAAGACTGAGAAATTGGCGTTGGAGGGGGTGAAACATGAGGTGAGGCAGAGTTTGACTTGCGAAATTTGGATATGAACTTCTTAAGCCTCTGAGGACTCATCTTGAGCCGTCTGTTTTGCCCTTTGTATGAGCAACAGTGAGAAATCGTAGACGATTGTATGAACACTGAGCGAGTGGCTCAGAGGGCGGGGTCTTGGGCAGTATTGTCTCCCTCGTCAGGCGGGGTAATGCGGCTGGGGGTATTTTCCTGTGCATGAGAAGAACCCAATACGAGGCCGAAGATCGGTTGCGTCAGACTGAAAGCAATATCTTGCATATCGTAGTGGGTAGGCCAAGATGTGACGTGAGCAAGAGGGAGTGGCTACTTGTCTTGGCATGCACCTGCACCCGTGCCAATCACGCGCAGCTATTCTTCCGTGTTGTCATTTTTCGTCTTTCGTTTTCTAGCACTAACCGCCTCTATTAGTAACGTGCCAAAACGATAAGGTGATCTGTCTTAGCTTTATGAACAGGGGATTTACTTTTCTCTCTTGGAAGTAGAGATATTTCGTCTCTCAGCTGTTGTAGAAGCTGCCGATGTGGAAAAGTCGACTTGCCTTCCGGAAGGAATCGCCTGACGAACGGCGGGGCCAAAAGGTGCACTCAGAGTTAGCGTGTCAGTCTACAATTGGATGTTGCGGCTGGTACCATCTGCAAGGCGGTGGTCCGTGCTACTGACTACCTGGTGTCAGAACACCCCGACACGAGACAAATGCAAATAAGCCATATTTCGGTTAGGACATAATAGCAGATGCATAGCCAAGATGCTTGACTCGGTTATGAAATGTGGACCTGGCAGATCCCCCATTGCTGCCCGAGCCTAACTAAAGTAACATAGTAGATGGCGTCGTGGCGTGCTCGGATATGATATCTTCTCGCTTAGAGCGATTTCTTGTAGTTGGGTGACGGTTTGTCAGTATGGCCAGCGGAATATGCATATATGTGAGCAGAAAAGAGTGTCTTATTCGTACTAAAGAGAGGAAGGATCACCACAGGTTTGTGGGCCTAATGCTACCTTAATAAATCGACAGAGCTAGGACCATGTGAAAATGACAGTCTGACCTGTTTCAGTATGTTCAGACCATTGCGAAAGGCTTATGTTCATGACTTGCATATAAGCATGCATGGATTCTGTCATTGGGCTGCGTATAAGCAAGATGAGCGCAGTTTTGGCTGTCAGGTTATTTTCGGGCCGATGCTGCTGGGACCCTGGCTGAGAGTAAGACATACAAGAGCCGTTTAGGTCAAAAGCCAGTTCTGCCTTCCACTGTAGATGTACTGTTTTCCATGAAGAAGTACTCCAGCCGTTTGGCAATGTGCCCCGGAAGCGCCAAGACCGACTGGTCTGTGCTCAGCTAAATTCTTAGACTTGCAAAACGGACACCGATTTTGCAAACCTCTGTATCACCTCTTTGACTCTCTCGCTGGTTGCGTCGGAACCTGGACCAACAGGTTTAGAATCGACTTCATAAGATGTTCCTTCACGGCCGTTCATGAGCCCGGATCCTCGCAAGACACGATTCATCAAATCCCGGATGTAAGATTGACATGAGAACCTCATCCTCGCCATTTTTGATAAACTCGGCATCATGAGCCATGGCGATATGCATCCCATATCGTTCACTTGCCTGTCTGAGCTCTTCGATGGTGCCCCAAGCTTTGTTCAAGTCTTCGTGCAAGCAAAAGTGAGACCCATCGGGAAGTAAAATGTTAGCAATGCTTCGGCGACCATCGAAAATATCTCTACACGCCAAAAGGCCAGATTAGTCGTCGATAACACACGCACTGCTCCAACAGAACGCGATGGGTAACTGACCTCGAATGACAGCAATCACTTGCTAAGACAACATGCTGCCCGTTTGGTAGTCGGGCGGCTGCAGCCAGATTACCCTCCATATGCCCGGGGGCGTCAATCACCCAGAAGCTGCCATCGCCAAAGAAGTCATTCGCACGATTAAAAGGGCCCCATTGAACCCATGGCCCCTCAAGCTCTTCAAAGGACTCTGACTGCGAGTCGCCCTCACCAAAAAAGCGAGAGTCCCACTGGACCATTGGTTGAATTTCGCCATCTCTCACATGCCCTGGGGAACAGTGCTTTTCAGTACCAGGGCCGAACAGAACTTTGGCGCGGGGGAACTCGCCTTTCAGCGGTCGGCAATGATCCCAATGGGCATGACTACTCTCAGGTCAGCCACGTGGTCCCATTGGCCTGGACATACTTATGGGGAGATTTAGGTTCTTGCCTGAATATGACAGTATCGATTTCTTCTGCCATCACTCCCAAGTCCTCAAGCTGCGTTATGAGCGATTTTCTGGGTCCAACTGGATTGCAACTCGTCCAGTGATAGTTTAAGACAAACGGCGTATAGAGTTCGCGATCCTACACGGCGGCTAATGAGCGGAGGTGTAAACGGTATGCCCATCGTGAACTAACATTGTGGATTCCGAGATCCCAGAGCATCCGTCGGCCCGTAGCTCTGTGATGAATGAAGAAACACCAATCGTAAAGATAGTACGGCTCCAAATGCCCATCCTCGTGGATCTTTGTGTCGTCGGTGGTTGTGAATCCTCCTCCGTCCAGTAGCACAATCTCGACAGCCCCAGTGGCCAGGGGAATGGGTCTATTCAACGCCATTTTGGAATAGAGACATGAAGAATCACCTGCTCTGGGCCTCTCGAAAAGTAACCCCGGTATTGGGGAAAAGATCAGAATTAAATATTTGAGGTTGCCTCCACTCGCGTAACTTCCCCGCATTCAGTACATGGTGGCCCTGCGACGGCATACGTCCACAGGAATCCGACACTCCATCCAATCCTTCACTGCCGTGACTGATGCTTCCGTGGGAGTCGTACATTCGAGGACAAAAGCAGTTTGGCAATGAGAAAGGCCCACGATTTCTAGCAACAATTTGAAGGCTGAAAAACTGCTCATCTTATCAGAATTCTCATTGAAACGATCTGTCCCCAAAGGATCCTTGCGTATATATGTATATGAAGCAAGAGTAGAGCGACCTTTTTTTTTTTTTTTTTTTTTGCTTCTGGGTGTCCGGCTAGGGAATTAGTCTTCGCTGCCCTTCCCGCATATTTTTATCCAATTCCATCCCCAACCAAAGTGGCTGGGTCTCATCTAGCTTGTCCTCCAACTCCGTTATATTGCCTCCATTCACAAAAAACGTTTTGCCATTGATATCGGGTCTTGCTGCTGGCAGAAGACTTGCTTTGGCAACATCTCGGGGCTGGTTGGCTGGAAGGTCCCCCCAAATCGATCTGATATGGTCTGTCACCATTTCCGTTACTAACGATTTTCAAATCAGAACCATACAGGAAGTATCCGGGGTCACTACAGCCTCGTCCATTTCTCTTACCTGTCATCCAAGGAGCTATCATGTTCACGCTGATGTTCATCTTTGGAAGCTGGGTCCGCAGGGAACGCATGAGACCCAGAACAGCCCCTTTACTGGCACAATATGTGTACAAGGGGGGTGTGTCCCAGATGCTAGCCGCTGATCCAAAGAGAACAAGTTGCGAAGGTATTTGAGGATGCATCCGGAAAAAGCTGATCGCGCATTTGGTTACGTACCAGGTTGCAGCAATGTTGACGTTCAGAACGGAGAGGTCCGGCTTCTTCAAATGCAACAAGTCGTCATCAATGGGCTCATCAAGCGTCTCTAACTTATTAATTGCGGCGTTCGCAATGACTGTGTCGATCCGGCCGAACTTCGAAACGGTTTCTTGGAAGAAGTGGAGGAGTTCATCCCAGTCAAATACATCGCATCGCTTGAAGAACACGTTACTGCGAGAAGATCCATTAGCCCCTCTTTCTTGAGAGATTGAATGTCTGCTGTGACATAGGCAGTTTGTTACGCGTCAAGTTCCTGCTCCACTTGTTTGCCTCGAGCCTCATCGACGTCGCAGAACGCTACTTTAGCGCCATTCTCTGTGAAGAAGTAAGTGATACTACTCTTCTGATAGAGAAAGGCTGCTTACGATGAGCGAGAGTCACAATGGCTTGGCCAATGCCGGCAGCACCACCAGTGACGAGAATCACCTTGTTCTGAAGTTTTTCAAACTCCCCGTCGTTGATGACATAAGTGGTCATTCTGTGCGTGATTCAGAGCTTTGCGTGCAAACTTGATAGAATGGGTAAGTGAGCAGTGAGCAATCGCCAACCGAATCGCCCGTGCTTCAGTCGTTTTAACAATTTTCTCCCTGCCTTTCAGTACCTACCAGGGTCTTCGTTCACTCCACATGCGACCACATTCAGATGATCTAACTTTGTGGGGAGCCTCCTTCCGCCATAAACATGTGATCAACCACAGATTTGGGGGGTTTGGGCAGGAATCTACATCCTTTGTTTCTTCCATTTAGCTCGAATTGCATTTTAACAGTCCAAACGCGGACATCTATCATGTCTCGATAGTTACATAGGATGGGGTTGGTGTGTCATCTGATAAGTCGGCTGTGGCAGACCAATGCTGATATTTGAATCTTTGCGTCTCAATATCATCAGCGATGGCGATCGCAAGATCAGCAGCTGAAATTCCCAGGAGTCTTCCATCTAAGGGGTTATCACCCTTGGGACCGTCCTTCAGCGGCAGGTTTTCCAGCGTAACGTTGTAGTTGCCTGTGCGTTTACCCGGACGGTATAACGCACTCGGGGAGACATAAGTCCAATTGAAGGAGGTGTTTCCCTCGAAAAACAACAGACTAGCCCGAGCTGCCTTGATGAATCCGCTTGCTGCATCCTGTTGCGCCTTGATCTTTGCCTCGTGTTCACTGATTGTGGCTTTTGCCCTTGATACGTCCTGTTGGCTCCCATCTCCCGTTTTCAACAAAAGGCGCGCATCACGGTATGCTCGCAAAGCTGTTCCCAGCGGTCCCAGTCTCTCTTCCATGTAAGTCACATGTGCATGGCTGTCGGATATGCCGCGTCGATATGCCAAGAAGAAATCTTTGCTGTCTGCCACACATATGCCATCTTCGTGGGGCACGTGTAGGCTACCAGTACCACCAACCATTACGAAGTAGTTGCTTTCAGCGCGCTTGACGGCAAGAACAATCTTTCGTATCATCTCGATGAAAGGCACTACGCCAGGTAATAAGTCAGTGACTAAGACTGGTACCCGAAAGTTGAATAATGAGACGTACTGTACTGCAGAGCTTGATGACCACCGGTATGCGGCCCGTATTCGCTTACAACAACGTCAAGGTCTTTGATGATCCCGTAGATATCAGCTTCCGTTGCTTGTTCCAAATCGATGTTTCGAGGTTCGTAACGTTCATGGCTTCCAAGCTTTTGTGGATTACGGGATATTCCAACGACACGGTGACCACGATTGAGGAGCTCGACGCACAAATAGGAGCCTCCAAAACCCGCAGGGCCAATAACACCCACAATCAGCGGTCGACGTTCTTCAAGCATGACGGTGTTAAACTTGTGTTTGAACTATGATCCAGACACAGTTCTTCACATTTTGTCCTGGGAGTTTCTATTGATAAGGTAACTCGTAAAGATCTATGTCCGTCATATCCATCTTTCATCACGTACCTATTGTCGAACGCGGGGTAAAGGTGGGGGAGAGAATGGTTGCTGTAGAATTTGCTTTGAGATCGAGTGTGGGGAACCCTAGCGCCTTAGATACTCCCGGTTTCGCTAGCTCTGCAGAGGCATTTGAATTTCTAGGCATCTTTTTGAAGATATTGAGCTTCTCTGGAGATTCTTTCATATTCTTGTTAAATCATACATGCCAACATGGATTGTAACGTCGGATTTATCGGTAGGTTCTGCTAGCCCGGACTCAACATCCTTTTCGACGTCACTTACGTGAACGCAGGCCTTGGTGCCATAGGATATCCTATGGCCGCATCTGTTCGCCGCAGAATTCCGCATGATTCGACTCTGTACGTTTTTGACGTACAAAAGGCAGCTTGTGCAAGGTTTTGCAACGAATTCGACAGCCTGGGGCCAGTCAAGATAGTTGAGTCACCACGAGATGTGGCTGCAAGCGCTGAAGTGGTGATATCAATGGTGCCGGGGGGGAGAGAGGTTGAAGATGTCTTTCTACATCCTGAAAACGGTATCAGCGTCGCCCCCCAGAATCCTGGCAGACTCTTGCTCGAGTGCAGTACGATCGATGCAGCCACAGCTCGGAAGTTGGCTGCTCACATTGAAACAACCCAACAAGGCACGTATGTTGATGCCCCAGTTTCAGTAAGCATACTGCTTGGCAGCGGTGCCGTTGCACCCCAGCATCAAACAATTCGGCATTAATCAAATTTTAGGGGGGCGTTCCTGCCGCAGAAACAGCCACGCTTTCATTCATGATCGGTCATCCTGCACCGCAGCCGGGTGACAAATCAACGGAGAGACTGGAAAGAACAGTCTCGTTGATGGGTGATCCCCAAAAGTTATTCTGGTGTGGCAGTGTAGGCTCTGGCCTTGTCGCAAAGATCAGCAACAACTATATTTCTTGCTCCGTCCTGTTACTGGTCGCAGAAGCAATGGCGATTGGTGTCAAATCGGGTGTTGACCCAAAGATACTCCAAACAATCATTCACAATTCAACTGGGCAGTCTTTCATGGGAGACAATGTTTGCCCAGTGCCCGGCGTGGTGCCTCACGCACCAAGCAGCAATGATTGGCGGCTGGGGTTCAAAACTCAAATGTTTCTGAAAGACCTTTCACTGGGAATAGAAGCATCCCGACGTCAAGGTCTCAAGCCCTCAATGGCAGAAGCCGCTTATGCTGTATTTGAGGAGGCAGCAAAGAATCCCCGCTGTATTGTAAGTGATGGCACATGCACATCTTGACTTTTTATGTTAGGCTAAAATGGGTTCATCACAGGATCGTGACGGATCATCTGTATATCTTCACATTACGGGGGAAGACAAGGATTAGAACCACTTTGTCGGACATTCAGACGTGAGCTCAGCATGCTGTACACATGTGCGATTCGCAATTAAAAAGCCGTTCTCTTAATCCAAACCTACCTAGTACTATGTGTCTTAAATATGTCTCCAAGAAACCCCCGGAAAGGATGAATGTTATCACATTTTGACCTAAGTTCATAGAAGCTGCTTCTTCAGTCAATGTAGAGCACCAATCGGGATTTGAAGACATCGAGACTGGTGCTCGAACTGGTCCACAGAGGCTTAATGCCACTCATGTTAATGAACATGACTCGTCAAATACCGATTCGGTGATCAGGGGCTTCATGAAGACAATTCAGATATTAAACTATCTCTATTTTGTTGAATTTAAATCTCTTTGTTCTCGATATGCTGAAGAAACGTCAGTATTTTAGCAAGACAGGCTTCGGCGGCTTCTGCGTATATCTCATGACCCTTGGAATCGATGATGCCAAGCTCTGCTTTGGGCACTGTCGCTGCAAGTTCCTCCATGGAATTTACTGTCACCAAAGCACTGTTCGTGGGTGATAGAATGAGCATCGGAGCGGTGATGCTTCCCAAAAATGGCCGGGCGTCCAATCGACTCAGAAAGTCCGCATAGCTTGCCAGCCCTTCCCCATCACTCGCGGCCACCTTTTCAATCCACCAGGCTAGATACTCAGGGTCATCATTGGCGACTGTCCCATTCGCGGTAGCAAGACGCCTAGCCCATTCTCGGGACCCTAGTTGACGGCAGGCCTCGGGCCAAGACCCTTTGCCAAACGCCAGAAACTCCTGGGCAGATTGCGGCAAGTGAGTGGGAGACGAGCAAACAATGACTGAGAGCACACGCTGAGGGTATTTTGCTGCAAATATCTCGGCAAGCATCCCACTAGTTGATTCTCCAACAAAGTGGACCTTCTCTATATTCAACTGATCCAAAGTGTCCTTGATCTCTTCCATGATGGTGGCAAGTGAATAGTCGTAGGCGCCATCCTGGCCAGGTTCCGGATAGCTCGACTCTCCATGACCGCGAAGATCTCGCCGGAGTACGTTGTAATGTCGCGATAAAGCCGGCACCCAGTGGTAGAAATGATCAGCCGTGCGAGCGAAGCCATGTTGCAGTAGAATTGTCTCTGCAGGTCGCCAGGGGTCAACAAAACTGTCCAGTACGTAGGCTGAGACCTGGCCATTCGGGTGGCGAATGGTCTCGCGTTTGGAGGCCGGCATGTTGATAGGCTGTGATGTTTTTTGCCTGCTCTGTTTTCACTGATTAAATTGAACACAGTATGTTTCCTCCGGTCAAGACAAAACCAAGGTACAATACTTGTACATAGAAAGCCTTAGAACAGCCAGATACCTTGGCTCAACCCAGATCAGTCATTCCCGTCCCTGCTTCTCTCGTCGTCGTGAGTGGAGGTCGTTTGAATGTGGGGTAAAGGCGCACACCGGTAGCAAGAAACGTACTTAGGTACTAGTTATTTACCTACCCCACATGGACTTCAGCTTGGTGACATGCAGCAAACCAGGTAATTGTGTGTTTGCGGGGAAGGAAGGGCTAAATTTGCGGAGTGCGTGAGCGTGGGAGCCGCACTCTGGTAGAATATGGGGTAGGTCACATCCTTCCCACGCTGATGACGTAGATTTTCAGGGTGTAATTCTCATCTCAAGTATGGGCAAGCTTCGTAATCAGACAACTTACAGATATCTTTAACTTCGCCTAGAACAAGTTTACCCTTTACAAGAAGTTCTTTGACTTTAAACAGTTGCATGCTGAAGAGTTCCTAAAGAATAGACTCACTAACTCCGCAGAGTTTGTTTCCAGAAGCTTCAAGTTATCCCTCAGATCATCACGACTCCACTTACAAGTCAAAATGTCCGTTTTCGACAATCCAATCCCCCATATCATTCTACTATCTTCTGCACTTTTATTGGTCTTTGCATTCGCCCTCCCATCTCTAATCGAAACCTTGTCCTCTTTGAGGAGATTACCAGGTCCCTTTCCAGCTCGTATCTCACGGCTATGGTACTTGAAGCAGGTTAGCACAGGAAACTTCCATCAAGTCAATATTGACCTTCACCGGACGTACGGTAAGCCTAAGCTCCTGTTCCAGCAGACTTTTAGGATGAGTGTACTCATAAACTAGGCCCTATTGTGCGCGTAGCGCCAAATCAGTATAGCATCGATGATCCGGGTGTGATCAAAACTATATATGGAATTGGCAAGGGATTTCCAAAGGTAGTACTTCGCTTCGATTCGCTCACTAAGTCTCCATCTGTTGACAAGACTCGATCGATTCCCTAGGCAGCATGGTATGAAGCCTCCAGCGCACCCAACCCGCCTTGGTGCGATCTTTTCACGGACCGAAGCAGCGCGCGTCACGCTGCTAATCGAAGAATTGTGGCAAACCTCTACTCCGTGACAACTCTCAAAGACATGGAGCCAGAAGTGGAAGACTGCATCAGACAGTTTGTGTCTCGCCTTACACACCTGTCAAAGTCGGGTGGGATTCTTGACTTGCAATTCTGGATGCAATGCTACGCATTTGATGTCATCAGTCAAATTACTGTGGGTTTTCCTATTTCCTGGAGACTGTCTGGAATCGTTTTGACTTTCTTGTTCACATACAGCTTGGAAAACGATTTGGGTTTCTCGATTCCGGGAAGGACAATCTGGGCATGTTCAAGAGCCTTCACGCTTATCTCAAGTACTGCGCGCTTGTTGGTATTGAGCATGAACTTCACCGCCCCCTTTGGTGGCTTATTACCAAACTGCCTGCAGCCGGGTTGATGCACGTTGCGAATTTCACCACTCGCGAACTCGAAAACGGAAGACAGGTTTATGACAACGAAAACCTCGACAAAAGTGCCGTGCGGAAAGACTTCATGTCAAAATTATTTCGTCTGCAAGATGAGAATCCGGACAAATTTCCTTCCAGCGCGATTTTCGCCACTTGTATGACCAATATTTGAGCTGGCTCTGATACTACATCGATCTCCCTTTGCGCCATTTTGTACGACCTCATAACCAACCCAAACGTCCTCGACAAGGTGTGTTATTCTCAGCGAACATTGGTAGAAGTTCAGTTGTGAAGGCCATGCTGAAGGCAGTCTAGTTGCGCCAGGAAATTGATGCCACATTCGCAGAACTTGGGGATCCGGAATTCATCCCATTCAAAGCTGCGCAAGCATTATGTTATCTACAAGCCTGCGTAAAGGAGTCATTGAGGTTACACCCTGCAACCGGGCTTCCTCTAGCGCGTGTCGTCCCAGCAGGTGGATCAACTCTCGCCGGAACGCATTTCCCTGAAGGAGTAAGCACGAACAAGTTCCAGGTCATTGAACTATTTGCGTCTGCTAAAATGAGAAACGCAGTCTGTAGTTGGAGTGAACACGTGGGTTTTACATCGAAATAGTAGTATATTTGGGCTTGATGCCGACCGATACCGTCCGGAGAGATGGCTGGATGACGACAAAGACAAGCTTTCTTTGATGGAGGCTAACTGGATCCCGGTATGTCAACATATCTTTTCGATACGTGAGTAGTTGGATACGAGCAGCGCAGCTACTGACTTTCGCATCCGATAGTTTGGAACAGGTTCCAGAACTTGCATTGGCAAGAATGTTAGCCTGCTCGAGATTAACAAACTGATCCCTGTTTTGGTGAAGAGTTTCAACTTTATTTGTGTGAACTCCCAGACTGCAAGGCACGAGAACTACTGGCTGGTCAAACAGGTCGGCATTCATTGCAAGGTGTCATCAAGAGCTGCAGAGGATGCGTAGCATACAACATGGAAGTCTGTAGCAGAATTATCACTCTATGATGACGAATGCCATTGCTCTCATGCAACTCTGTGTTTGCACGTGAATAAGTCCGAGAAGGTCTTCCCATCCGAAGGACGTGGAGCAACAAAAAATGACTGGAGTGAAAGTCTCAAGGTGGCCTTTGGAATAGGTATGCCAAAGAATAAGCAGAGTGAGCTCGCCGGCGCCGACGCGCAACACTACGCTCATCCATTCTACACAAGGCATAGCACCATGTAACCTTTTGCACGATGTGATGAGAATGACAAGTATCCTATTATTGTCTTTCTATGTATTATTCAAAAGAGACCTCAGGTGGGCATGGAGCATGTGAACTCTTCGCACCAAGCGAAAGGCTTCAAGGTATTTAAGGTATTTAGCAAACAGGGACCTTGATGACCTGGCCGACCTGGAGGCTCTCAGCAGCGACACCGGGGTTGGCGCCAGTAAGGGAGTCAGTGGTGATGCCAAGGCTCTGAGCAACAACGAAGAATGTGTCGCCAGACTTTATGGTGTAGGTGGCCGGTCCGCCTGTAACGCAGGTAGCCTCCCCAGTGGGGGTGATGCAGGAGGTGTTGTCGGGGTTGCAAACGTCGACGGGGACCAGAAGGACCTGACCAGCAAAGATGACGTTGGGGTTCGCAAGCTTGTTCTGCCACGCAATGTCGCAGATACCAGAGTTGTAGCGCTGCGCGATGGTGGTCAAGGTCTGTCCGGCCTTGACAGTGGTCTTGTGGAAGTTGCCAATCTTGCCGCAAGTGGCAGAGGGAGTCGCGGTGGCGGCAGCGGTAGGAGTGGCTGCCTATGAGCTGGTTAGTTGCTTCTTTTGGATGCAAAGAAGAGTGACATGACGCACAGGAAGAGCAACGACAGCGCTGGCAGCAGCGGCAAGGACAGTGAAGATGGAAAACTGCATTTTGGAGAAAGTTGTTGATTAATTATGTAGTAATTAAGAGGCAGGAAGTATTGAAATGAGTGGATAGATTTAGCAGATCAAAGTTTGAGAATAGTTGTTGGAGGTTTGTGGAAAGAACGACGAAGTTGGTTGGAGAGCCGAGGAAAAGAGGACTACCCCAATGAGGGATGCGAACGCTGCAAATAAATAAGCCATCAACGAGGAGCTGGAACTCGAACCACCTCTTGGGAAACTCCGATGATCCCGCGTTGTCTCGCGAGTTCGCGACGCCGGAAATGGCTTCATCAATTTAGGTTCATTTGCGTTCGCCGATATCCGTATTCACCAGCGTTGGAAATGAGCTCACCTCTTTCTAGTGGGGTTTCTTTTCAGTTGCTAACCACGATAAACCTTAGCATGTCGAATTGACTTTCGAGCTGGGTTGTCCTTTTGGGTTGGAGGCTAGCATCCCTGTCGACGAGTCGTGTCAACGCACTCTGTGTGCAGAGTCATGCAGAATTTGAGAATTTCATTTGTCCACCAATCTCAACCTGGACCTGGTTTCACCAGCTGTCTTTCTCCCGCCTTGAGCCCAGCCTTACTCTGTCTTTGCAATCACATCATGAACGTGAGTCCGAGTCCCGCGCGCCAAGCGATTAAGTGAGGTTATGGTCGTCTCCGTTTGCGCTAGCCGAACCTCGCCATTACCACATCGTCAGAGGCAATTGGTCTTAACAGGAGTAAGATCTACCTTAGGAAGCTTGTTAACGATACTGAGGACCAGCGGAGTGAATGGGTGTAAATCCCGCACTGACTGGGAGCAGAGAGCCCTGACAATTGGTCACGACAATTCAGCGTGACTCGTACGCCGCGAAAGAAAACTTCCGGGTCCACTCCACACGTGCCAAATGATTGGGACTCTGCTGATATCCCAACATAGGTAGTCAACTGGCTTGAATATTGGACAGTAGCGAGACTCTGAAAGGCAGGGCAGTGAAATCTTATCTTTTACAGGTGCCGATGTATGAGCTGGTAACTTTAATACATTAAAAAGGTGTGCTTTGTGTCGATTGTATAATGGAGTTGTCGGAAACTATAACATAGCTCTGGTCAAGCTTGTTTTCGCAATGGCAATCGGAGTTCGCTTCAAGATCAGAAAGACAGATTGCTGTAGGCAAAGTCTTGAAATGCCGGTGCAACAAAATCTCGGTGAGCCCGGTCTTGGTCCGCATGGCTGGTTCTCGGCCGTATCTTCCGAACTGCGCTCCACAGATCCCGGGATCTTCTGCTGCCCAACTGGAGACCGTGTTGGCCCACCTGCACGGGTGGATTTTTCTTTGCCAGACACCGCCAGACAGCTTCCATTAAGGACGTGTCTGACTACTGCCCGAGTGTCAAATGAGTTGAGTCTTGCAGTTGATACGCCGGTAGGAATAATGAGTACTCTTCATCTTAATCTCACTACTTGTTCATCGATCCGGAAGTCAATCATCTGTGGAAATCACAGCCTAGTATCTCATCTCAACTACCCACCGCTCATTGTTAACAGATAAAGACTCGACTATCTTACCGCGTACTAGCAATGTAAAAAGTGCGGTCTTCTGAATGGGGATTCCCTTAACTAACAGGTGATGCGCAGAACTGAAACTTATGGCTTTCTCAAGTGCCACAAGCAACAGGCAGTACTCAGTGAAACATCACCCACGTCTTCGAAAGGATGCATGAGATCGATGATGTAGAGAGCTCTTGGGTTGGTGTTCCAAAGTATGATTACATCTTCTGTCGGTATATGGTCGTCGCTATCGCAGACTGGCCTAAACTCATCCAGAATATTTACCAGTACGTCTTGATTCCTCGTTTGAATGCACAGGCCATGTTCTTTCTGATGCTGTTTAGTCATTTGAACCCTGGTGGCTGGGTTGAATTTCAGGAAATGGGTGGTTTGTACTACTCAGAGGACAACACGTACGTCGAGGAAATCGCTGTCTTCAAGTGGAACAGAAAGTTCCTCGCGGCATGCGACGCTATGGGACGCACTGCACGCCCTGGTAGCCAGGTTGAGAGTTGGCTGCGCAGCACAGTGTTCGATAATGTCGAGTCTCAGAAGTTCAAGGCCCCGAGTGGGCAGTGGGCCAAGGATCCGCAACTCAGAGATGTGGGTATGATTTGTCTCAGTCAGCTACTTGACGATCTCGAAGGCTTTACTCTTAAGCTCTTTTGTGGGTTCTTGGGTAAGACTCAGGAGGAGGTGCTTGTTGTTACGGTCAGCTATCCGACAGTAGGGTCTGCTAACAGAAGCTGGGGATTGATACGTTCTAACAGTACACTGGGTCGTGGTCGTAGGTCGTAGTTCGTAGGCTGTAGTAGATCGGGTCTTCAGAGGCTAAGGTGATCAGTCTTAGACTCAACAAGTGGTTCGCAGTGAAGGTAAGTCAAAGCACCCACTTTTCGACCACCCCTGCATTTCGACCACCCATAAAATGCCGCCCAGCCACCCCATTAACTACTATACCCAATTTTCAAACTACCACAACATTTTCAATCCTTCATCAATTTCCATCATTCTTTCAGAATATCTTTTTTATTATACAATGAAACAGTATACCGAAAATGAGGTTATCCAGGCGCTTAACGACATCAAAAATGGTATATCTACTCGCACTGCCTCCAAGCGATGGGGTGTGCCACGATCAACGCTTATAAGCCGTACCAAAGGCCACCAACCAAGGCAAGAAGCATTTCAAGACCTCCAGAGGCTCTCTCCTGGCCAGGAGGCCAGCCTGGCCACTTGGGTGACTGCCCAGGCAGACCTTGGGCTGCCACCAACCCATCAACAACTGAAGGACTTCGCCCATCGCATCCTCCAAGCCATGGGGGACACCCAACCTCTTGGCAAGAGGTGGGTAGATGGCTTTATAAGAAGAAACCCATCTATCAAGGTCCAGAGAAGTCGATCTATTGATTCGAGGCGTGTTAATAGGGCATCTACTGAGGTTATCAGGGACTGGTTCAAATATCTCGCCATACCTCACATCCAGGCCATCAAACCAGCCAACAGATATAATATGGATGAGACTGGTATCCTTGAGGGTAAAGGGGATAATAGGCTAGTGCTAGGCAGTGCTGCGACTAAGTCAGTAAGGAAGAAGCAGCCTGGTTCGCGAGCCTGGGTATCTATTATTGAGTGTATATCAGCTGGGGGCGCTGCTATCCATCCCTTGGTTATATATAAGGGCAAGACAGTTTAACAGCAGTGGTTTCCTCTAGAACTTGGCCTATATGATGGATGGGAGTTCACATCAACAGAGAATGGGTGGACTACTGATGCTACTGCTGTTGAATAGTTAGAAAGGGTCTTTATCCCCCAAACCAAGCCCTCTAGCCCTAACCAAGCTAGACTCCTTATCCTAGATGGCCATAGGAGCCATACGACGACAGATTTTATGTGGTTATGCTATACCAATAACATCTATCTGTTATTCTTGCCTCCACATACCTCCTATGTCCTCCAGCCACTTGACCAGTCAGTCTTCAGCCCTGTCAAGGCAGCATATAGGAAAGAGCTGGGATATCTTAGTCAGTGGATCGACTCTACTGTTATAGGCAAAAGGAACTTCATTTCCTGCTATCAAAAGGCTCGCCTAGCTGGGCTGACTGCAGGCAATATCAAGAGTGGCTGGAAATACACTGGGTTATGGCCTGTTGCTATTGCAAAGCCGCTTATGAATGGGCTGCTGGTTCAGAAGGCAACATCATCAACAACAACACCATCAACACCACTCAACAAGGTTGCCAGAGATAAACATATAGCCCAGGATGCCCATGGTATAGAGGGCTGGGCGTCAGTCTCATCTGCTGTGAAGTGGTCTACGCCAAGGAAGGTGAAGGACCTAGGGGACCAACTACATATATTCAGCCAACTAGAACAAAACATCGCCACACAACGCCAGCTCTTCAGGAAGGTAAAAGAAGGCTTCCAAGAGCAGTCCTTTGCCCTAGCTACCGCCCAGCAAAAGATAGAGCTTCTAGAGGCCAAGGTTGCCAACACTGCTAGCAGGAAGAGGAAGGCTGTTCAGTTGGACCCAAATACGAAGTTTGCGACAATCAAAGAGATACGGCAAGCCCAGATTGAGGCTGGCGAAGCTGAAAATGATTCAGATGAATCCAGCGCATCTGAATTACCCAGTGAGGCCGAAAGTTGCATTATTGTGGCTTCAAGAGGTAGTTGATAATTAATTGAATAAAGTGGTGGTGGTTGCGATGGCGTCAATTCATGGCGGTCGAAAAGCAGGGGTGGTCGAAAAGTGGGTGCTTTGACTTAAGCTGAGAGTATCCGTGAGGATGAATACTAAGTTGATTGCTGAAGAGCTATGGACGTCTGACCATGAGCCAGGCTCAGGGTCATACTATATATAAGTCTTACATGAACAGTCCTGCTTGTCCATGAGCGCTGTATCCCTTGTCACTATGAGCGCTCATTCTAGAGTGGGATGAGCGCTCATTCTGGTATCCACTGAGCGCTCATTATAGGTCCCTTATCTATGCCTATTTCTTATCATCACGTGACTTATACCATAGTTCTTCCGTTCCAAGTGAGTCCCTGTTGTTCCTATGATCCTGCAGTACAAATGTCTTGTCCCAGCCGCCCGACGCCCAAGTGGGTCGGTCAACTGTTATCCATGCATAACGGGTCGTAACACTTGTCATGCTCAGCCATGTGCGCAAAGAGTTGAAGTCGGGGGCAGCTCACATCTTGGTCAGCCAGCAAGTTGCTGCCTTCTTGCAGTAACTCCATATAATTGTATAATTCGGGACTGACCATGGCTCTAGGGATGTCCTTTATCCACAAAAGCCATCGATGGAGGCGAAAGATACTATTGCCTGATGTTTGGGGGTTGGCCGCTGTGGTTCGTGGGCTAAGACTTCAATTTTGCCATCTACAAGTGCTGTTGGCTGTATACAAGGTTCCATGCAGCTCAATCAGGTCGTTCTCTTGGGCAGTTGATTTTCTTGCTGGGCCTTTCTGCCCAAATTGTCCCGACTCACCCTTCCGCGAATCCAACTTTCTCATGTGATGCTATTGTCTCTTATATCTTCTTGGCACTGCCCTCGTGTGCGACTTCAACCTCAGGCTTGTCTCCAACCACGCCTGGAGTGTCCTTTTCTCCCATTTCACCGTCCCAGCCCTGGCTGAGTAGATACGCGTGGAACCTGGCGTCCTCTTCTGAGAGATCGTCACCTTTAAGGTTCGGAACGAAGAAGTAAGTCACCAGAACGCCAACAACTCCACATATGGCCGCGATGATGAATGTCCAGCGCTTTCCAAGACTAGCCTGTATTGGTGTGAAAGCCTGTGTTCCGATCGCTGCACCAGCTTTGCCCACTGCAGCAGAGAGACCGTAGCAGGTTCCGCGAACTGCGGTTGCATAGGACTCTGAAGAAAGCAACCCAAGCATATCACCCGGTCCCATGTTGCCAGAACTTTGCATAAGGCCGTAGAAAACTACGAAAAGAGGTAGAATCTTGGTGATTTGGTCGTATGCCACCCCAATTATCAGGCCAAACACAAGATAGCCAGAAAACCCCAGCATCATGACGTTCTTGCGGCCGATTCGATCGCATAAGTATGCACCCAGAAGAACACCGGGCAGACCTATAGCGCCGAGAAGGAGTTGGTACTCTGCAGTAGACTTGATGCTGGAGTTCTTGACGACAGATGAAATAATGACACCGGAGAAAACGCCGTTTGGGAAGGTGACAAAGTCGTATAAGAACCATGCACCAGCGGTTCCTATGAGGCGCTTCCAATAGTATCGAATTACCAATCTGTATGGCACATGACGTTTGATTGCTCCGCGGCGGTATAATTTGGAGTTCAGCATTTTCAGTCGAAAGTAGAATACTGTCAAAGGCAGAGCGCATCCAATTCCGAAACATACGCGCCAGATAGTCGATAGGTGTTGAGGCCCAGCGGCGGCAGAGAATACAATGAGAAAGATGCTGACTGGCAAAGGCCCGCCAAATGACAGCGGCAAGTTCGTGACGAGGATGAAAATCGGGCCCCTGTTCTTCAGAGAGTGTTCGTTCGCGGCTTCTGATGCAGATGTTGAAGAGGCAGGATACTCTCCACCAGCACCGAAGCCTATGATGCCACGAGCGACAGTCATCATCCAAAACATGCCATCAATGGTGACTCCACTGGCTGCAGTTGCGAGAATCGACCCCAAAACAATCAAGGCGGTCGTCAAAATGATGGCGAACTTGCGCCCAAGGTAGTCGCAGGTGAGGCCAATAGTAACCTGGCCGATGATTTCGCCGATGAGAAGAGAGTTGGAAACTCAAGTGCTGACTTCGGACGTGTACTGTTGAGGATACTCCGCCTTGAGGACGACGTTTGTCATAGTCCTATGGAGTTCAGTCAACAAATCAAGCAGTCTTTTCATCCGCATAAAAGCTTACATCAGGTTGTTCTGATACCCATCGCTAATCAAAGCAAAGCCGGCACAGGCAATAGTGAAAATGTCGCTCCATGACTGCTTTCTAGCAGAAACAATTTCCGCCGGTGGCTGGCGGTCCGTATCGCTGGCAGCTGCAACAACGTCGGGGACGAGTTCCTTCGTAGGATCATTCGTTGCAGACATTTTGATAGATGGTTGGAAAGCAGAATTAAACATTCAACATCAATGGCGAGGTGAGGTTTTCCGTCTTATATGATTACCTAGGCTGTGGAGGTGGGCACACGACGGAGGACCAAAAGGGAAGATACGAACTGAGCCCAATGTCTTGAGATGTGACCCTCCAGCCCTGGTGATGCGATTCTTCCCTTGTGATTGGTCCCATGTTTCCTGTCGGACTCCTGCCGATGCGTTGCAGTCAACGTCAGTGACGCTCCAACGGATTCATTGTTGTAGTGGATCTTTCAAATGGCACACGTGGAGAGTCTCCGCGACTCTAATTCGAGACATTCTTGTTCAGGGCCCGCTTCGACACGCAAACCGTGACGGGAACTACTGCATAGTAATTCCAGCGTGGGGTCACATTCGAAGCCGACTTCCGGGCAAGCCTCAGGAAGCCAAGACGAAACAAGCATTATTCCACGTGCTGCAATTCACTAACCCCACTTTGAAAAGATGCGATTCCTTCGGCACGTTATTGCCGGTCGACTCTCCGGCTAGAATCTCGGGTTGATTACGTCTCGTTGAAGTCAAGCTTACTTCTGCTGAAGAAATCGCTTGGTGTTTCGAGTCAAACTGAGAATTGCAACTACTTTTGCTTTGAGCCCCGTCGAATGGCTGTCTTACCAAACCCAGTGTGGAATCCTCGTCAGAGTCATACGGCAGTCAACAAGGTGCGCCTCCAGGCGGCAAACTGCGAAGAAAAAAGTAAGAAGGGAAGAAAGGTAGATTGATCGCAGAGGTTTCAACGCTCCGTGGCCACTGATTGTTGCGTTTTAAATGTGATCCGAACAGATGAGTTGGACGAGAGCTTTGATGACACCATACCATATAATATGGACCGAAAGCAGAGAAATTGTGCACCATTTGCGGCGAGTTGTTCATGACCAATCAAAGCTTCTTCAATGTTATTTCAGTCTACAGAACCCCAGCGCCGAGCGAAACCAACTGTCTACCACTCTCTACAAAAAGGAAGTCTAGGTCTAAACGACCGTCTGTCTATAAACCTGTCCCATAATTACAATTTGCTTCTCAGGTTCTTTCTCTCGTCCTTCTTGAACAGCACCTTGCTGTTCGGGTAAGGGTCAAAGGTGACGCTGTTCAACGGGTTGTCCTCGCTGGCCCGTTTGAACATGTCCTCGTAAACCTTTCCATCAAATCTGCCAAGACTGCTGTCAAGTACCCAATCGTCGAACTTCCACGCGTCGACCAACCGCACGGCATGAGGTCTGATCTCCTCAAGCAAGGTCATTACAGCCTTGGTTCTCGCAAGGGTGATCTGGCGGACGGTCACAGCCGCCGAGCTGTAGAACTCACTCGCCTCACGCTCGAGGGTTGTCAGGGCATACAATCTGAACAGCTTGTGCAGAAGCCCAACGGTATCCTTGTCCAGCTGATCGGTAGTAGACTTGTCGTTCAGCGCTTGGTGGAAGTTCTTAACCACCATGTACTGAGCGTGTGCGGTGCTGAGGCGCCAGAAGTCAACGAGCAAACTGTTCCAGGATTGCTTGTCCTCATCTCTGTGGCGAAGAGCCTCGAAAGTGAGGAACGAGACACGCCAGGCAAATGCTGAGACCAGGTCCTCGTCAGAACCTAGCACGTCGAAAGCCGCACCAATATCGCGGCGGCGCAGGAACTCGGTAAGGATTCTTGTGGTATCATTGTTTCCAGCCTTACCCTTCAGTACCGCACGTGCTGACTTCAGCAAGTAACGAGACACTTGCTGCGTGAGCATGTAGTTGTCGCCCTCCCAAGTCAGTGTTGGAAGATAGTCAGCATACCAGCTGCCGATGCCGCTGAAAGATGAGTAGCCGTGACCGCCACAGGCACGACGGCAGACTTCGAGGCCCTCGCCCGCAACGGTTGATCCATACGCCTTCAGGGCGCAAGATGTGGCATGCAGGTCGGCAAGCAAATCCGTTCCGGGGTTCAGCTCTTCAGGGCCCGGGTTCCGAGCAGAATCGCTGAGCTTGCCAGCATCGGCCTTCATGCGCTTCTGGTTCTCGTTGTACAAGTTGATCATACCGCGACCGGTGAAGTGCAGCGCGAATGTCGCGGCGAGAAGTGGCAGCAGTCGGATCTGTACCATGGTGTAGTTGAGGACCTGGTTCTCACCAGGCTCGTTCGCAGGTGCGTCTCGGTCTTGGAATTGCCGGCGAACAGCACAGTAGCGGGTGGCAATGGTAACACCCTTAGCCAGAACGGAGCCTGCTTGGAGGACGATGTTCGAGCGCACCCAAGTGAGAGTGCCATAAACCAGAGATGGGTTCGCGGGCCTACTGTACTTGCTTGTCTGCGGGTCGACTGACGAGAAGCGGGCAAGCATGTGGTTGTGTGGGATCTTGACGTTGTTCAGCAACAGAAATCCGTTATCCATCGTGTTGTAACCGAACTTGGGGCCGATATCGCCGACGTGCACATTCGGTAGAGGTTCGTGGCTGTTCTTGTCCCTAATAGGAACAACGAATGGGTGAGGGCCGAGGGCTTTGCCGTTGATGATTAGCTGGGCCATAACCACAGCGTGGGTAGCCATCTTTCCGAGAGAGCCAATCCACCATTTGGAGGCTGTCAGGTGGGGGGAATGCATGACAAAGGTCTTATCGGCAGGGTCCCATGTTGCCGTTGTCTCCAAGCCGCGGACGTTGGAGCCATGGCCGAGCTCAGTCTGAGCATAGCATCCGATGATCTCGTAGTTTTCGGCAGGCTCGAGGAAAATCTTGTGCTGCTCCGGAGTACCCTGCTCGCGGAGGGTAACGAGGAACATGCTGGCGTGCAGGCCATAAGGCGTGGGCTCGCTGATGAGCTCATTGGCAACCTGGTATTCATCGCGGGACCAGTTGTGCTGCTTGTTCAATTGGAATAGCCTCTTTCCTCTTGCCAGCGAAGCCTCAATGCGGCTCTCGCGGCCTCGGAAGTAGTTTTGCGTCTTGTCGAAAACGGGATCGGCCTTGAGGATGTTCAGTATCCTCTCGTTGCGCTCGAGAGCCTCGTTGGTGAACATGAAAGTGGCGAGCTGGTCGACATTGAGGTTGGACTTTGCCCTCTCCTGAGCCAGGAGCTCTGTGCCCTGGGGCCCAGAGGGCTGGAGCTTCTTGACCCAATCCGGGGTATTCGGCATGGTGATTGAGTGATTGCGGAGGCTGTGGAGTGTGGGATGAAGACTGCAGGAACTCTCTGGGGAAATGGAGGTCTCAGAATGGCACCGATAAGATTTTGTAGAAATTCCGTCTTCGGCCGTGCCGGCTACTCGTGAAGTCTAATGCTCATCAGGGGGCGTCTTCCGTCTCTCGGAGTGTTCTCATGACGCGCGCGCGCGAGAAGTGCCTCGGCTATTACTGTTTCGAGTTAGACCCAGTCCTCGACTTGACACGTAGACCGACAAGAGATCCGGGGTTTCAGCAGACTGACCCGCTAAATCTCGCGGCGCATCTCCCGATCATCGGACATGCTCGGTACTACGCTACGAGCCGAGGTGATATTGCCGTCTTATTACAACATCCGGGACTTCGGTCACGACACCGCCGGATTGACACGGCCCAGTTGTTGACTCACGGCCTGAGTCACGGACGGGGTTGGATCACATGTATATTTACCATGGCACCGTTCCGAACTCAATCGCATGTTCTGGACGCGTTTTTGCAGCTTTGCAGCCCTATGACTTGTTTTTCGTGTGTTTCGCGCGATTGCCAAGATGACCTCGGCGTATTCACCAGACCAGGTCAGTCTTTACTTAGAATGCATTGGCGTTCCTGAACGATGCCGCCATGAACCGCCTACTCTGGAGTTTTTGACAATGCTTCATATCCACACAATCTCAACGTTGCCTTACGAAAACCTGTCTCTGCATTACAACCCATCACACAACATCAGTCTCGATCCTCAGTACCTGTTCAGAAAAATGGTCACCGACAAGCGCGGACGCGGTGGGTTTTGCATGGAAATCGCGATTTTATACAACCATATCCTGCGGGCTCTGGGCTTTGATGCGTACACCGCTGGTGTCAGAACTCGACCACGCATTGAGGGCGTGCCAAAGGGCGACTTCCCAGGCTGGTAAGGCACTTAATTCCCCATTCATCATATCCGGCCCATATCCGGTACCAATTCTACCTCCCTCTGACTCCCCGCCTCCTCAGGGGTCATATTGTAAACATTGTGACATTCGCAGATGGTTCTAAATACCATTCAGACGTTGCGTTTGGCGGCGACGGTGCAACAAAGCCAATGCCATTGATTGAAGGCCTTGTTCACAAAAATCTCGGAACGCAACGAATACGTCTTGCGAAGGATTGGCTACCTACGCAAGCGCATCGAGTAGACTCCAGCAAACAGTGGATTTACCAATATCGTAACAATCCTTCTCAGCAGTGGAACTCTTCTTATGCCTTTGCGGAAATCGAATTTCTACAGCCTGACTGGGGCGTCGTCAATCACTGGATGAGCACACATCCCGACAGTAACCAGGTCCGCAACCTCCTCGTCGTGAAGTTTCTGCGGCGAACAATTGCTTCCAGCGATAGCAACGAGCAGGAGATCTACGGCAAGAAGATGTTGGTCAATGGTACTGTGAAGCAGAATATGGGCGGCAAAACGGAGTTTGTGAAAGCATGCGACACGGAGGAAAGTCGTCTTGAGTCTCTCGAGAATGTATTCGGCATCGTACTATCGCAGACCGAAAAGGATGGCATCCTAACGTCACCTTTGAGACTCGGGTGAGTACTATTTTGACCTATTCAACTTTCCTGTAGACGCTATTGAACGCCTCCCTCTTATTTCCCATCACGTCAATCAACGCCCTGGTCTTTTGGCTCTCCGGGATGACACGCAACAAATAATATTGCAAGTCATGGAGCCAGCAGGATCTCAATTTCCGCCACCCTTTGGCAATAGCGCCGTTAACCCAACTCAATATTAAGCTACCAAAGGTGCTGGAGTCTGGAGACCCCTTCGTTACCCATAACGAAGTCCCTTGACTCTTCACATTCCCAGGCACAATACACAAGCAATGTACGTTCTGAGTCTCGCGTTCGGCTTCTAACTGCGAGTGTGCGGAAAGGGTGCGAAATCAGGTTTGGACCCACGTTGTTTTGTTGGCAAGAGTAGAGAGCTGCAACTCTCAGTTCGTAATGGTGTTCTCGATGGCGGCTCTGATCTCCTTTGGGTTGCAACCCTTGCGTCCAAGATGATCGTCGAGACATGGTCGTTTCCTGTCAGTATCCTGGGCCTTGCAGCAGACGTCGCAACCTCATCTGCAAGATGGCCAAGGAGGAACACACCAAACCCATTACTCACGAGTTCCTCTGCGATGCCATAACCAATTCCTGCACTTGCGCCCGTCGCAAGTGCGTAAGTGGGCTTCAAACCCGGGCGCTGGTAGGACGATAGAGGCTGCGATGGTGCAGCAGTGTGGAATTGGATATTGTCGAAAAGTTGGATTCACAAACGTGCCGTGCTCATGCATCCTATGGCCACAAAGGCCCAGAGCCATTTTGGGATCTCCAGCTCGGTCAACTTCTTGAGATAACTTGCATTCATCTCCATGGCAAATTTGAGCAGCATTATGGGCGCAGTGAGGATCAAATAGAGTAAAAAGGGGGGTTTCCTGTCAAGCAGATTGGAAAAGGTCGTGAGGGGTTGAAAGGTCTGTTGAGCTTCTTGTCCTACAATTCAAGCGTGTCTCATCTTAGTCACCATTCGTGCTACTTCATTGAACCAAATTCGTCCTCCAGTCAAATATCACCATCGTTGACATTCTTTTTCCCGACTGCTCAGTGCAACGCCAACAGTCGTCATAGGACGGCAGCGTGCATTTTTGTGAAGGACATGTGTGCATACCTATATACGATTTTCTCGTTTGTCCGATGATCCAAGATCACGTCTAAAACGAGACAAGAAAGGCTCTCCCCGTTTTCATTATGAACTCGCCACGAGTAGCTAATGTTCGATCAGGCTGCTGTTGGTACTCAAAGTCTGACGAGGACAACGAAGAAGAACGGGGTTGCTGAACACAGCCCCAGCGACGTGACTCTAGAATGTGCCCCTGAAGGTCAGCCTCTGTGTACGGTCCTTCTGAAGCGCCATCTTAAGGAATAAGCGCGTAACAAGAAATACCCTGTGCCTCCTGTGCCTCTCTTGGCATGCGAAACTAGACGGCTCAGAGGAGCTGGCTTCTCCATCAGCTGCGATGCAGTGACCATAACTGAGCTGCCAAATCTCCACGACGCCAATGGAGCATGTAATAAATCAACTGAGGTATTTTCGAGTGCCATCCAGTACAGCGAATATCCCGATTATACTGTCACGTCACCTGGGTCAACTGCCAACCCTGTCACGCAGGATATACCTCGGGATTTCACGTACGACTCTGTGTGGAAGGCCGAGACTGGCTGCCCCAGCGACACGAAGAGTATAAGATTGGTCTCTCAACATTATACACTTCAGCCTGCGATCGTGGATTACCCTATTGTTGTTATCAACGGGTTATTGTTGACCAGCCAGATGATTCCTCTTGCCAAAAGCCCTGTTGTTACCGGAACACCCCTGCCTGTATGCTTTATGAAGGCCGCTTCAACCTGGTCGAAACTCATCTCATCGCTTGCAATTGAGAGAGCTTGGTTTCGTATGCCAGTTCTCTTGGGCCTGACCAGACCCTTGACTGCCCATCTGCCAATGTCTTTGGTGACTGTAACTTGCAATGTCTTCCCTCCCAGGTTATCTCTCCATCCAGTCATGCACAGTTGGCCGGGAAATCCCCACCAGGCATTGTCAGCAAACCAAGTTGGGCGAATGATAGTATAGTCCATATTATGCGTTTCGCCCTCTTTAGAACTACAGGCATTTTTAAGGTGCCGTTCAATGTAGAACTTGTCTGAAAATGTCTTGCAGTGTGAGGGGTCCTCGTCGCTCAGTTCGCGTCCACCACGGTCCACAGATGAATACACGAAGTAAGGTATGCCGTGGGCCACTGCGGCGTCGATAAATGCCTTTCCGTCTGGTAGCTCGGTTGGTCCATGGGCTTGGGCGAGGAAGACTCCCGACTGACTCAACGTTTCTTGGTTGAGTTGTTCGAAGATGGCATTGGGGTTGCCCAAATCCCCAATTATAATGTTGATTCCACGGAACTTCTCTAATAGGCGATCAGCAGCGATTCCGGCCGCCTGTCGAGTGATTGCGTAAACTTGAGTTGGAAGAATCTTGAATTCGGCATGCGTTAACAATGCGTCGACAACGGCACTACCTTGGCGGCCAGTGGCCCCCAGTACGATGAAAGCTTTGATTTCAGACATGAGAGCTTGGTTTCGCTGTTGAACGCGGACGATCTTCAGGGTGTGCTCTTGTCTTCCATCGCATTTTGATGGACTTCATCTCATTTTTATCCAACAATAGGATTGGTCCTATTGCATCCGGGGCATCAAGATCGTTGGCCTCTACGACAGTGAGAGTGCAACCAAAGGGCTCCGAGCAAGGAGTTACCGCGTGCAACTTTTGTCAGCATGGGAACAGTCGTCAGCTGTGGCGCTTTAGTATTGGTAATCAAGATTTGACTAAACCAATATTACTCGGGCTTTCTTTGCTTGTAACTCCCGACCCGCGCGCTTAGCCACCTAGACTATGCCTTTGCGGCCGCCCCTAAAAACGCAATTCAGATCCGATGCGAGCTCGAAGACACATGTGCAGTACGTGACGGGTACTTTGAGGAGTAATGGGAGAGGGTTGATCTAGACACCATACACTTAGTGAACGGTTCCCAAATGAGTAGGTAGTGAGGCAAGCCTTTCATGGAGACCACATCAACCAATGCTCCTCGTTTTGTGCGTTCTATGTCCCTTTCCAAAGGCACTGCGTCAAGTATTCATAAAGAACAGTGGTATATTTGAATGAGAATACAGCAATTAAGGAAACTTCGTTCCAGAAATGTTTATAAACGAAGCGACTTTGACTTCAATAAATGTCATCTCGATGGGCATTGCAAAAGAAACAAAGGTCTCTCACAGTACAAGTGATAGATTCTGCCCAGTAAAGATACAGTGCACAGGGCAATCAAAACTGCACCGAGCAACATTGGAGTTGTACCCCTCAACACTAGCCACCACAAGCCACTGCCTCTGCACCAGCACCTAAAGTGGCAGCCCAATGACAGGGCTCCTTCTGTAGAATTTCGGTGGACCCCTGGCCCAATTGGGGCTGTCATCCATGAGACCCCGCGTGTTGTGCTCCCTTCCATCAACATGACTCAACATGACTCAACTACGGAACGTTAAAAGACTCAAGTTCACCGAGCATCTAACCGCACAAGACTCTCCGTAAACTTATCCAAATGAGACTCATCTTACATTATGGCTGCATACATTCGAGTATTGTCGATTGATGACCTAGACCGATGCTCCGTCGTTGAATCAGCGGCTTTCCCGCCAGCGGAGGCAGCAACTCGCGAAAAGGTACGTAACCATCTCTGGACCGAAGACGATCTCGCAGACATCTTATTCCTCACTTCTCCGTCCTTTATATTTTTACCTTAGTTTGACGTTTGAGACGCTGTCCTAGATCGATTATCGCCTGAGTGTTTGCCCCGACCTTTGCTTGGGCTTGTTTGTCCCTGAGAACTCGACAATCGCCAAACCTGAGGGAGATATCCCGGTGTTCACTGCTCCTCCAACTGGTTCCGGCAATGACAAGCTTATTGCGCATGTAATAGCGACGAAGTCAACGTCGCGAGTTGTCAAGGATGAGGACATGTCTTTCCCCCCGACCTGGAAGACGGATCCCACTGCCCAGTACGGTGTTGGTCATCAGGCTGAAGGAAGAACCATCGCTCTTCACTCGTTGGCTGTGTCGCCAACTTACCAGAGATCTGGATTTGGAAAGAAGCTCATGAAGTCTTACATTGAGTACATGAGGCAGAACGGCCAGGCAGATAGGATCTCAATCCTTACCTACGACAGACTCTTGCCTTACTATCAAGCCCTAGGCTTCACGCACTACGGCAAGAGCGCCTCTGAGTACGCGGGCGTTGCTTGGCACGATCTGGTTCGTTTCTTGACGCCATTTCACAATACAGGAGCTTACAGACTTTAGGCATATGAATACTCGGCTGATGCCTAATTCATGTTTTCGTGATTGGCATGAGCGTTCGTTCGGGCTTCATCCACGCACTGCAGCATCCACATGGGACTAAGTAGTAAACGACAAAAGGGATGGAACACGCATATATCATATTTATTCATGCCTAAATAGAACATCCTCCCCTGGTATTGAGAACAAGCACTGCTGAAGTGGTAACCTACTTCTGTGAGCTAATGCTAACAAGCAAAGAAAATCACGATGTAGGCGTCTTATCACAGATGACGTACAGTTGGATGACATGCTACTCAATGCAGTCAATGGTGTCACAGCACACGGGTGTGTTTGTGCTGACATCCAAGCATCTGAAGCTGAGCTCTCCGCTGCATAGACCGTTCCGGGGTCCACATCTGGCGTTCACACCTGTGCTGAACGTGGCGAGGGCCGCAGTGAACGCTGCGAGGATTGTGTTCGAGAGCTGCATTGTGAAGTGAGAAAGCGTTGGCGGTGAAATGAATCGCAGTTGAGTTGGAAGAATGAAGAAGGCACGAACGAGATGAGTGCACTTGAAGGTTAGGTTGTGACTATGCAGGACCGACGTTGCCCAATTATAACATTTTCTTCATAACATTTTCTGGCGCGTGCCGAGTATTTCGCAGATATCATCCGACCAGAAGTAGCCGTATTTACGGAGGGCCATGACTACTTCTGGTTCATTCTGTCTCATCCATGCTCGGAGGAGTTCATCTTGTAATCGTGTCAGATGGAGTATGAAGATAGTTATTTTGCAATCAAGAATGGATATTCAACCCAATCAGTCCCTTGCAACCCGGTCTATCCTTAAGGTGTCGCAAATCGCACAAAGTAGAAGATCGTCACGCCAGGACTGATGTGCAACGACTCCGTCAGACCCAGTCTTTCCTCCAGTTTCAGGAAGCCGATGGGTGTGCCAAGCACAGTCCTGTCATCCAGAGGCAATAGTGCTCGTCTCAACATGATTCCATGTGTGGTAGAGCTGTTGATAAGGTAGATAGATAGATTGAGCCTTGCATACGTGGTATCGCTCGCTCCACGGAACGGTTTTGATAAAACTTTCAGTTACAGGCAGCTGCTCGGCATCCGTACCAATGCAAGTCATCGCAAAGCTTAATCCTAACTGCGCTAAGCTGCCGGCTATTGTAGCACATGATTCGTGTGCCCGCTGGCTCGTAGCGCTTCTGTTGCACGGGAACCCCCGCTAAGGCGCCCGGAACTTTGACGGACACATCACTGTTCGTCTCATGGTCCGATGTCTCAGCAGGTTTTTCAAAAGCTCACGTGGCAACTCTGGTCTATGACAGCTACTTCATCCTCATGCAGCCGGCGATTTCGAGAAAACACCTAACATTACGCATCCCACGACCGACTTGCCATCATGGTACGAACGATTGACCTCTTGAATGGTGACTTTACGGTCCACATCGACCGAACGACGGGTGCTGTCTTAGAGATTGTGGACCCTTCTTCCGACATTCCACTCAACTGGGTCAGTTCCCCAGCTAATGCACCCTGGCAGCCCCTGGGAAGTCGCTGGGGACTAGGCTTCGCGGACCTCGGTGCCAATCTACTGCATCGGGTGCACTGGAACAGTCCGCACATCGAATCCTCGGCTGAACACAATGCTACGGTCGCCAAGTACTGTTACGGCCCACTAGAGGTCCTTGTGCGCCGTCGTCTTGACAGTCAAACCGGTTCCTTCACAGAAACCTACGAGTTCACGAACAGGGGAACATCACCGCTTAATCTAGCTGCGAAAGGCGAGCAGTCCTTGGCAATTTACACGCCATTCAACGACCATTACACCAACACCACTGATTCTTTGGAAAACCGGACGCACGCACATGTTTGGGCGCATGGAGGCTGTTCATCATGGGTTAAGCTTAGTCAAATGGGCGGTCGCGGCCGTGACTTAGGCCTCGTCCTGACGCGAGGAGCTTTGTCGGGATACAGCATTGAGTCTCGAGATGAAGTAACCCATTCAAACACTCGGGGCGTCTTTCTTCTTCACCCGTCTATGCCGGTGCTGCAGCCGGGCGACTCCGGTGTCGTCGAGTGGACCTTTTTCTGGCATTGTGGTTGGGACGACTTTTTCTCTCAATGTGCCCGTCGGTCGAGTCAGTTCATCCATTTCGACATTCCAAAACACACTCTCGTCAGTGGGGAGAGCGCCACTATTCGCATGAGAGGCAGTTCGAAGGCTGTCAACTCCACAACTACAGTCAATGGACGAGAGGTCCTACAGACGAAAGACGGCTTTCATTATGTTCATGATGCAGGAGATTTTGGCGAGAAGACATTGCGGATTTCTACCGGAAAGGGGAACGACCGACGAGAATCGCTCATCTTCTTGAACACGGTCCCCAGCTACGATGACTTGATTCGAAGTCGGATCAGATTCATTGTCGATCACCAACAAGTCACGGACACCAACGATTTCTTACATGGTGCCTACATCGTCTTCGACAACCAAGCAGAGGCGCCCCCGTTCTACGAGACTCAACAGGATCGAAACGCAGGGCGCGAGCGAGTGGGGATGGGTGTTTTGATTGGTCGATGGCTGAAGAAACATCCCGATGCTAGATTGCAGGAGTCATTTTCGGCGTATTACTCCTTCGTATGCACAAAGCTTCAAGACAAGAACGGCTTCGTCTACGATGCGCCAGTTGGGACAGGTACTAGCAACCGGAAGCGCCTCTACAACTGGCCATGGGTTCTGCAGCTTCACTTGGTAGCTGCGGCAATCGCTATCCCGGCCGTTTTGGGTAAGGCTCCCATGGAGAGGTTCATGATGACCCTTGAGAACTTCTATGCTGAAGGTGGCGAGTCGCTCTATGCTATCGGGCTGCCCGTACTTGAGGGACTTCGAATGCTTCAGGCTTCAGGGGACGAGAAGTCATTTGAGCGAGCCAGAGATCTATTCATTGGGCACGGGCACAATATCCTTAGGCGCGGAACGAATTATCCCCCGTTTGAAGTTAATTTTGAACAGTCTATTGTTGCGCCTGCAGCGAACATTCTGTTTGAACTTTATCGATCAACAGGGGATAAAACTTGGCTTGACGGCGCCCAGGCTCAGCTAGAGGTCCTTCTCAGGTTCGCCGGAAAGCAACCGGACTACAGAGTTCATGACGTCGCCATTCGACACTGGGACGGGCATTGGTTTGGGAAAGATCGCATGTGGGGGGATACATTTCCTCACTATTGGAGTACTCTGAATTCGATTGCCCTGCATCACCAGAGCAAGGCAACTGGAGATGCAAGGGCTCAGAAACAAGCCGACGGAATTCTTCGAGCCAACATGGCACTTTTTACCCCTGAAGGTAGAGGGTCCTGTGCCTGGATTTATCCCACGTCCGTGAACGGGAGAGCTGGACATTACAAGGATCCGTATGCGAATGATCAAGACTGGGCACTCGCCCATCTTTTACAACTTGAGGAAGACAACTTGTTGTCGATTTAGCATAATAGCGTTATCTCAGAGGGCTAGCTTCCAGTATGCTTTTTTTTTTTCTGTTCTCTCCAATACACTCAGACATAGACTTGAATTACGTTAGGATTGATTACTGCACCTCAATCTGTTCGCGTCAATGGCATGTGTAACTGCGGCCAACTCACTCAAGCCGTTATTAGAGACAAAGTATTGCCAAACCTGCCTAGCACGTGCTATCGGTATTTCTTACGGTTTGACACGCGGGACAAGTCCATCCGGGGCAAGCTAAGATTGGAACAAAACTTCCTGATACTTGTACGAGGATCGCATGTAAGACGCCTTCGACGTCTAGGGCTGATAGCTGATAGTTTGAGCGCAGCCATCAGTCTTTGCATATGAATCCCGACATCGCTGGATTCCTTTGCAAGCCGGCTTTGAGATTAAGATTTGGGAAAGCGATTTCCGGCGCACACTTAACTGTGTGCGGTGCTTTCTTCTTCGGATCGCATCTCATTAGTTCGTCGTCAGTGTAAGTGGCGGCTGTACACAGCCGTTGCTAACCACATGCGTCCAACTGACTCGGCGCTAAGTTGTTGTACTGCACTGTCATAGGACCGCCTCCAATGTTAGGCTTCCTCGTCTTTCACCTAGTTGTCTACGCTTTTCTTTGATGACTTTTGGTGATCTGATCAAAGGAATAGGTTCATCAATTCCCATGTTCGGTTTCTTTTTTATACGTATCATACCGGCCATCATATTTCAAAAGTTGCTTGACAATGCAGGTTCACATTCATTTGCCCATCAAACCCTTCCAATAAAATGAGTGACTCACCACCGCATGTTTTTGAAGACAAGTCTTCGGTGGCATATGGCGTCGTTGCCTTCTTACTACTTTTGTCGGGTTTAATGGTATTCCTGCGATCGTGGACACGTGCAATAATTCATCAATGGGGGGCTGACGACTGGGTAGCCCTTTTAGCATTGGTCAGTTCTCAAGTGTGCTGGGTATTGGCCATGGGAAGTTAACAATCAGGCAGTCAATGATTTTTGCTTGCGGAATCAGTATCACTCAAAGTAAGTTGACCCGTACGAAAATCTCCGGCAACCATGACGATACTTATAGATACGTCCCTCTCAGTGACCAGATATGGGCTGGGCCGGCATGCTTCGACTCTGTCGCCAGAAGATCTTGTTTTATACCAGAGGGTACGTAAGTCTATTTTGTATATTTTCTCATCAGCTGAAAATGTGAAGGCTTTCTTTGTATCCCTATTTTTATATATCACGACTCTCGCTGTTGTGAAACTCGTGTTCCTACTCCAATACTACCGCATCATGTCGGTTTCGAACATGCGTGTGGTTTACATTGCCATGATTGTGTTGGTAGCGGTCTGGGGCATCGGACAAGGAGCGTTTGCACTTGTTGCGTGCGTCCCTCTGGAAAGATTTTGGAACCCTAGTGTTCATGCAAAGTGTGTTCCAAATGCCCACATTGCCTGGTACATCAGCGCGCTGTTCAACATATTCACCGACATCATCATTATGATTCTTCCTCTCCCAGTCATCCGGAAGCTGAATCTCCCCGGTTCACAAAAAGCTTTCCTTGTTGGTATTTTCAGCGTCGGCTTCTTGTAAGTTGCTCTTCCCATCGAATCAACCTCACTTGCCAGTTTGAAGTCTGACTGTGATCAATTATTTCAAGAACTGTGGCAATATCCGCTTTGAGAATCAAGTTCCTTACGCTTTTGCCGGATCCAACATGGTCCAACTTCGAACCCGTTCTTTGGTCTCTCGCAGAGCTGACATCGGCCATTACTTGCGCTTCTTTGGCTACCCTGCGGCCTCTTCTCACGCGCTTGAGCAAAAGACGCGAGAGAATTAGCGATACCAAAAGCGCGGCCCAAATGGTCGCGATCAATGAGCTTGCGGGCAAGTCTTTCCCACAAGTAGCCTCGTCATCGACTGGTACCCGAGAGACTTTGGTGATCACAAGTAACGACATCAATCCCTCGACTCAAGAAGTTTGAACGAACAGTTTCTACTGTTCTCCTTGATTTTTCAGTGGTCAAAACAACGCAGAAGGCGTTGTCATATACTCAGTATGCACGGATGCGGAACGATGCGAGCATCTTAGCACCTCAGTTTTGTCAATTCTTTGAGTACAAAGCTATGTCTGATGCTTCTTGGAGCAAAACCTTTTCGCAGTGTGATAAGCCTCCATGAGGACCAAAGTCGAATGATGATGCGAGCTTGGATTGCCACCTGCCAAGAAGTAGGAAGGTTTTGCCATATCTCCGCACGATTTCATCATCAACTCCGACCTACTTAGCCTTGACTTTTATGAGCTCGATGCATCATTCATGAGAGTAGCATCATAGCTTACCATGCATAATTTAGAAGACTGGACCTGAGATGATGGGCATTCAAGTGAAGAGAATAGTTTGAAAGCGTGTCCTGAATTAGATGAGGAACATGCACGTGGCCTGCGTCGAAGTCAAGCAGACAGCCTAGACAGGAGGGACTGAAAAGTCGCCAAATTGACTATCATATCCAGGTCCCAAGCATCCGTCACTCCGATCACTTGATGTTATATACCATCGCCCTTGCGTTTGACGCCATTTGCCAAGATGCTCTCCGTCATTCATGACCAACCACAAGCCGCACTTTCGCAATGATGTGACTGCAAAGTAGATTTATATATGACGAAGATTCGACAAAAACAGTCACAATCGAGCGGCAGTAGCCAAGGACGAATGGGCGTGCCATATGACGGCTCAATGACGGTCCCAACAAAAGTGTCAATACATGATTTAATGATTTAAAGCCCGCTAACCAGGCAGCGCATGCTACTCAAACTCTCGCTTCAATATCCGAACGCAGTTCAACATGATGGACCAAAAAGACAACGTGAACACCTCAGCTACCGCGTCTGTACTCAGCATCGGCATGCGAGCCGTGGACGAGAAAGCGACCCTGCCGTCGGACTCGGAAACAACGCGCGACATTCGGCAACGTATACTGGAAGACCAAGCTGGTTCAAGCGCGACACAACGGCCGGCAACTAACCTGTCCAGTCTCTGGCGTCGTCAGAACACCTCGAGAAGGCCCGGTGACATTGCGACTCAACCTTCCGTATTCGACGATCCCCAACTAGCGGTGTATTTCCAGCCGTCAGACAAATACGAGAACCGGCATCGTTTCGATGCGAACTTTCGCTGGACTTGGGCTGAGGAGATTCCACTGATCAGGAAGATTGACTGGCGTGTGACAGCTTGGTCTTGCCTTGCGTTTTTTGCACTCGATCTAGACCGATCCAACATTAGCCAGGCCAACTCGGACAACTTTCTGGAAGATCTAGGCTTGGACACGAATGACTACAATCTTGGTCAGACGGTGTTCCGAGTCTCCTTCTTGCTGGCTGAATTGCCGAGTCAATTGATCAGTAAGAAGATTGGACCGTACGCTGATACCCATACGCAAATGCCGCTCTGGTGCTGCGACGTCCTGTTAACACGCAAGCCTAGCGATCGTTGGATCCCTGCACAAATGATCCTCTGGAGCATCGTGAGCGCCTCCCAATTTTGGCTCAACGGGCGGTCTTCGTTCCTGGCGACCCGCGCAATCATTGGGCTGCTTCAGGGGGGTTTCATTCCCGATGTCATCTTAGTACGTCCACGTCATGTCCTAAATCAGCCACCAACGGCCTTCGCCCGCTAACCTCTTGCTCTACTTTAGTACATGTCCTACTTCTTCAAGAGCACTGAGCTCCCATTCCGTTTGGCCTTGTTCTGGATGGCGAATCGTTTAACCGATGTCATTGCGCCGTTACTAGCGTACGGCCTTCTCCGTCTTCGAGGGTACCATGGCTAGGAGGGATGGCGGTGGTGAGGTTTCATTTTTCCACTGCCGACATGCGGATGTTGACCGAGCTTAGGCTATTCCTTCTCGAAGGCGTACTGACGTTAGTCATTGGGATCTGGTCCGTGTTTATCATGATGCCCTCTCCCACACAGACAACGGCGTTTTGGCGGCCTAACGGATGGTTCACCGAGCATGAAGAAAAGATCATGGTGAATCGCATCTTACGAGATGACCCGTCCAAGAGCGACATGCACAACCGCCAGGCCATAACGTTAAAGATGCTGTGGGAATCGCTGTGTGACTACGACCTATGGCCGATCTACATGATCGGCCTTACGTTTTCTATTCCAGCCGGACCACCTGATCAACACCTAACTCTAACTTTGAGACAATTGGGCTTCGATACCTTCGACACTAACCTACTTAGTATCCTTTGTCAAGTTGCAACCACAATCAATGTGAGCAGAAACAATTTGGGTTTCTTCGGAACTTTCGATGAGATTTAACATCAATAGATGCTCTTCTTGGCGTGGATTTCAGAAAAGATCAACCAGAGGGCATTGCTTGGCATTCTCGTCGAGCTATGGCTGCTCCCCTGTGTCATTGCCCTTGCAGTGATCCCCTCCGGCGTCAGCAGATGGGCCACATACGCGTTGGTAATCGTACTATTGTCTTATCCCTCCCCCCATCCCATGTAAGTGTGTCAATGCACCTACCCTTTCTAGGAGTTTCCTTGACACTTGACAAGGCAAGTTGGCTGGGCGAGCCGCAACTCCAACACCGTCAGGACAAGAACGGTCTCGGCCGCGCTCTACAATATGTCTGTTCAACTTCAATCCATCATCAGCGCCAACATCTACCGACGAGACGATCGTCCGGAGTACCGCCGTGGCAATAGGGCGCTGGTCGGAGTCGCAAGCCTCAACGTGGTGATCTACGCGGCTGCTAAGTTCTATTATGTCTGGAGGAACAGACAGCGAGACCGGATCTGGGACGCCATGTCACCGGAGGAGCGCCAACGATACCTCGATACCACCACAGACAAGGGCAGCAAGAGACTGGACTTTCGATTCGCGAGTTGAATTTCTGCTCCGTAGGATTTTGCTGGGTTCTGTGTTGGGACTTTGCTGGGCCTGCCTTATGGAAGTAGTAGTCGATGGAAGATCGCTTGCTGGGGTCGGCATGTTATCTCCACCGGACGGCGAAGGGGTTGCCCTCCAAATATCAGTGCGCGCGGGCATTATTGGTTTAATTGGGAACTGCGGACATGCATCCGTGATAACCGGGCGCTGCTCGTACTTACGAACAGGGGTGAATCTGACGCAATGCGATGGCAAAAGTGGGAACGGACGAAGTTGACCGTGATTTTGGATATTTGTCCGATGAATTCCGACAGGATGGGAAGCTGGGAATAGCGAGCTTGCTGGGAATAACAGCCAAGTGGGTGGGAGACTGGTGAGACTGTGAGGTGATGGTAAGTGAGGGTAACTGTCGACCTGTCAGACGGTCGGCGACCTTGGCACTGGGTTAATGAAACCACCGCTCCAATGACGAGGATTTGGGTAATAGTCTAAGTTTCGGCACCGAATGAGAAAAGAGATTGGAGGCGGCCACGGGGGATATTCTTCGAGGCTTTGGACCCTGCACCATGTCATTTTAGAGTCAGTCACTGCCTGTCATGAACTCATGGTATCTCACCACTCGAGTCGACAACAAGCCACAACTCCACGGGAATTCTTCGAAGAAGCCCGAGGAAATGGTTTGGCTACGCACAAACAAGAAGAGGGCTGAAGAGCCGGAGAGTGTCAGTGGCTGCAGCCTACCACACAAGACAGCCGATGGACGGCTTGTACCCGGACGGGGCCCCCAAAAGCGGACGCCAATGGCACCGTAATACGAGTGGAGCGGACCGGTGAGACAATCAGTTCCTGAATCGAGAGTAGTTCATGTTCACGTTTCTTCTGACTCTCCCTCCCGTGTCCCGCGTTCCGCATCTCCTCCCACATTGCCTTTTTCCTCCTTTTTTTTTCTGCCCGGCCTCCCAACACCGTCTCATTGCCGACGTTGCCACGGTGCCTGTCACCTTGAAGACAATGTCTGTGCTAAAAGTTCTTTAGTGCACTTCCCAACATTGAACCTGCATTAGCAGCAATTTTGTTCTGACGGAGAAGCTCGCCTCCGTCCACTGGCGTGCAGCTTACCGTATTTGTGGATGGCTGCTTCGGTTTTGTGGTGAACAGGCAGATAAAGTGGGCGGCGCACGTTTGACTGGCGGCTGCGGCTGGATACTTGAAGAATTAAAAGACTGGGTAACGGCGAAGCTGATCTTTTCACTAGAGGCAGCTGGAGGCGAAGTCTTCGCGTCTTTCGCAAAAAGAGAAATAAAGTGGCACCACACTGAGAAAACGGTTCAGCGTGAACAAGACAGGCTTGCCTACATAGGGGTTGCAACTAAGACGGCGCAAAAAGGAAGCATTCGTGACAAACCCCTCAATTGATGCCGGGACCGGTCCGTTGGAGATGGCCTCTCTTTGGAGGAAAGAGGATGCGAATATGCTCCTCTCCTCCGGACCCCTCTCATATGGAAGCCGTTAAGAGAAACAATTGACACGCCAAGAGCCATCACTGCATAGATGGAGCGTGCGAATGTCACCATCGCTCTTCCAGATGCGAGCGATTCATCGCCGCACTCGGCCCCCAAATCGACTCAACTCGTCGAGTCCCCTCGTCCTCCTCGTCGCAGTGGATTTGATTCCCTGTCACCAGCCTCGTGGGAAGCTGGTAAACTGTAAAGCGAGAGGCAAGAAAGGATCGGAAAGAAATGTCCTGTCTGTCTGGTGTTTGAGGAGGGGACCCATTGCGACCCTCTCGTGGGCCCAAGGGACCCAATTCTTTTCTTCCCACGCGTGGTGAGCCCCTTGGCGGAAGGGATCCCCGAGGTTCGCTTTTCGGAGCTAATGCGGGGGAAGCCATTCCAGACAATGGGCTCGTCGGACGGTAACTGAACATGGCCATTTCACCGGCCACTAAGAGCACTAGCTAAGACCGACTTGGCTGATAGTGTGTGAGGCTGGATTACCCGAGATGTGGTGTGCCCCATCTGCCGACATTTGCTGACAACCGCGGCCCTGAATCTTGAATACCTACACACACACACTGAGCCAAAGGCCTAAAGCCTCGAGGATGGAAAGCCGAGGGTACCTAGGGGAGAGGGGAGGGGAGGGGAGGGGCCCAGCCAGAAGGATTCAAGTCCCGCTTTCATCACAGCCCAACGCTGAAGATCGGCCTCCCATACAGGAAAGGCTCTGGTCGAACTCCGATGGAACCTGCCGGGGGGGGGGGGGGGGGTTGTACCGTGGATTCCCAAGATGCAGGTCTGCAGACACACTTGCGCGTATGTGTGATGATCCAGGGGTGCGCGCACATTCGGCCTTCCACTCACGGCATGACTGACAGGGCCAGGCCGCACACATCACACGCAGGCACGCACGGCATGTTGCGTGGGAAGTTCCACTCCCAAATTCGGGGGTGCATATCCATATCTTGAAGCGGTCCCTCCATCTTCCCTTCTCGTCCGGTCCCTCTTGAAATGGAGAACCTCTAGAACGAACCGTCCCATTTTGTTGCGGCTCTTCTCGGCGCCAGGTCCCTCCTTGGACACGACTCGTTCGTTCGACCGCGTTTACTAGTATCGCATCGACATCATACGACTTCGATTCTTTCGATTCGATGGCGACGGCCGAAGACAATGAGAACCGCGGCCCTGAGCTGTTCGCCGTCGGCGTGACGCTCGTCACGGCCGCCGGCATAGCGATCCTCCTCCGATGCTATGCCCGAATCTGCCTCGTCAAGAACTTTGGATTCGACGACTACTGCATGTTGGCTGCTATGGTACGGAGCCCTTCGTCTGCATCCATCTGGTAATTGGATCAGGACTGACGGGATTGTTCTTAGGTTTTCTTCGCTCTCTTCGTTGCATGCGCACTCACAGGTATTCACTATGGAACTGGGCGTCATTACTGGGTATTGGAGGCACAGGATCGGGCAGATGCAATGAAGGTAATATTCCTGATGGTATGCTAATCGTCTCGAGAATTGTTTGCTAATGGCTGTTAGTTCTGGTGGTTTTGCTATCTCTGGTACTGTCTGTCGATGATCTCGTCCAAAATCTCCATTGGCTGGTTCCTGCTTCGAATTACCGTCCGAAAGATCGACATCTGGATCATTTACTTTGTCATGTTCTGCACCGTCTGCACCGGCGTCGTCTTCTTTTTCGTTACTTTGCTTCAGTGCCAACCGATCTCCTTCTTCTGGGAGCAGTACACCGGCGCAACCGACGGACACTGCATCAACATGGACGTCATCATCGCCCTCACCTATCTCTACAGCGCTTTCAGCGTCATCTGCGACTTCACCTTTGCGATTCTCCCCATCATTCTGATCTGGAAGCTCAAGATGGACCGCAAGACAAAGATTGCGTTGATTCCCATCATGGCCATGGCCTGCATGTTCGTGATACCCCTGAGACCTTCGTTTCCTGAAACTCTCCACTGACCTATCCTTCCAGAGCCAGCGCAGCCGTTGTCGTCCGTATGCCTTTCGTCAAGGACTTCAAAAACATTGATTTCTTGTGTAAGTCCCACTTTCTTCCTCTTTCACTCGCGATCGGGGTATCCCACGATCGAAATTAAGGTTGGTCAAGGTACTGACTCGCGCTCCCGCAGATGCAACCGTAGATATTGCAATCTGGTCCACCACGGAGCAGGGTCTGGCCATCACGGCGGGCAGCCTTGCGACCCTCCGCCCGCTGTTCCGCATGGTCGGGTACCGACTCGGCTTCACCTCCATGGGCCCCTCCGCGCTGCACGACTCGGAGCGCGGCAACCCCTCCGCTATGGGCGGCCACCTCAAGGACGTCAGCAACAACAGCAGCGCCAGCCGTCACCAACGGCGCGGGCCGTTCAGTCTCACCACCTTCATGGCCAAGGACGACGCCGAGGCCCATGAGCTCGGCAGCAACAGCGACCAGGGCGAGAACCAGAACAAGTTTTCCTCGGGTAAGCGCCGCGTGTGGGAGTCGCAGGGCAAGCGCGACAACGAGAGCGAGACAGAACTGACCTTTGAAGCCTCCAAGGAGTCAAGCCAAGGGGGCGACAGGGGGGCTGGCGACAACCGCGATATTGTCGTCGTGCAGACCTTCTCGTTGAGGGAAGATCGGTTGTAGATGTAAACTTATTGTACCTAATTAATGAACGTAAAATAATTCACCAACTCATACCGAGGAAACGATCAAAGGGGTATAGAAAAATCAATTCAAACGCACGCTCGTTTTATGTATCCTGGTGCAGATCTCTTGCTTGTGTTTGCTTGTCAAGACAGTGCGATCGATCATGTTCCGAGTGGGCGCCACGAAGCTTGATGACAGGGCCGTGACAAGGGCTGGCTGCTTTGTAACATGCACTCGCTCGGCGTGGCTCAATGGAAACATCGCAACGTTGCCTTGTCTCAGGTGTCCTGCCAGCGCAGCTAGTCTCGGCGGTCATGAGCCATACTGGCGGAGACTTTCAGTTTTTGACAAGGCATCGAGATATAAGACGTCGCTGGTTCTTTGGAGCGTGTGTCAATGAGGTTTTGAAGAAGAGACATTCAGAAATATTCCTCGAAGAGTTGCATTGAGTCCAATCAAAAGACAGTATACGCTGCAGCAAGTATAACCACTCAGCTCCTCCACCATGGACGAAGAATTGGTGGGAAACTCCTTCAAATCGGGGAGACTCATCTTCAGGGCTATTGAAGATGACGAGAACGATCAGAGGTGGTTTCACGAACAGATCAAAAACGACCCGGTCGGGTTCGCGCTAGGGGACTCCAATGTATTACGGCCGCAGACAAGACGCCGCAGTGATTCATTGCTTCTAGAGATTCAAGGTTTCCTCCTGGGCGTCATCATCTGTCTCCCCGCCGCAGACGGAGCAGCAAGTCCTCAACCAATCGGCGTGGTTGCACTCAACGATGAGGCGGGCGATAATTACCGCCATCACCATCGCCTCGCAGTTCTCAGCATTTCCATCGCGAAACCGCA